TTTGATCTGGTCTCATACATTTCTTGGCGTGAATCCCGCTGGGACTGGCTATTAAAAAAACATGTAAAGTGACTATATATCAGATCTTAAAATGAAACCATGACTTGAAAAAAATGAGAAAGTGGTTTCATTTGATCTCATTTAATCTCATTCTTGGCATAAAGTTACTATTTTTAGACATTTTAAGGTTTTTTTTAGACTATTTTTAATTTTTTAAAAAGTAACACTTTTTGATAACACTTAAATGAGATTTAAAGTCATTTAAAGCAATAAAAATAATTTAAATTAAGAAGTGAAAATCATGATCTCATTTGAAAAATGTGATAAGAGTAGACAGTAAGTCTCACTGAGACAGTATAAGATCACTATCTAATGTTAAAACTGTGTAATGAAATCAGTTGAATTGATAATGAGACTATTAAAAAATCTGGTTCTGGTTTCAGACACGGTCACACGGTCAGTCTAATAGTAGTAAGATCAGAAGAAGTTCTGAGAATGATTTAAGATTAAGATAAAGAGAGAAAGAGAGAAGAAGAGTATTACTATAAATAAGTAATAGTAGAAGAAGATTAAGAGAGTATTAAAGTAAGAGATAAAGAAGTTAAAACTAATAAGTTTTTTATTTATTAAAAGATAATAATTTTTAATAATACTTCTATTTACTAATTAATTAACAGAAGCTGATAGAGAAGAAGAGAATTAAGATCTTATTCAGATCTTAAATACACTTTATAATTCAGAATATTGAGAAGATAGCTCTACTCTCTAAGTATATTAATCTGCTTATCACTGAAGTGAAACCTGAGACAGCAGATCAGAAAATGTGAGATTTTGAGACACAGATTAATCTGACTGAGAGAAAGCAGTGAGAACTCTTCTCTGAAAAGATAGTAGAGAGAGATTTTAAGATGATTATCATCTCAGATAAGAAGAAGAAGAAGAAGAATAAGAATAAGAAGTAAATTACAAAGAATAATAAGAAGAATAAGAAAGAGAAGAAAGATAATAAGTAGAAAAAGTAGAAAAAGTTTTTTTCTTTTTATATTAATTAGTTATAAGTTCATAATTTTTAATAATTGAAATTAATTTTAAGTTTTCAAAAATTATTATACAAGTTGTAATCAATATCAGAAATAATATATATATATATATTTAACTATCATGATTTATAAATCATTATAATGTATAAGTATTAATATTTTTTCAATATTGATATTTATAATATTAATATATTTTTAATAATATTATCTGATAATGTAATTTAATAACACTCTCTTTCACAATATTAATATATTTCAAGAAATATGATAGAGATTAATCAAGATTATTTATTTACTTTTATATATTAATAATATTCAATCTGAGTTAGTACTAAAATTATAACTAAGCTAAGAAAGAAGATTATTTTCTCTTATAATAATTCTTCTTATATATATCAGTAATCAGTTATTATCTTTATTAAAAATAATTATTATTTTTCTTAAATCTTTATTATATCTTCTGAATTCACTTCTTTCACTTCTTTCACTTCTATTAAAGATTTATAAACTCTTCAAGAAATGACTATTCTACATATTTTTATTCAGTCTCTTTATAAATATTATTATTCAGGTCTTATTTCAGAGCTCTGTTTCTATAGATCTTAATTCATATTATAATTTTATAAAGCACTGTAAGTAGTCTTTATCAGATTTCTTATCTCTTTTTCTATTATTACTGATTATAATTCAGATGTTCTCTATTCAGCTTACAGAGTTTCTTAACTTATTCTCTAAATAGGTCTTGAGAACTGATTAGTGAGATCTCTCATGATTATTCTCTAGATAATTCAGTTAATTCTTGACTTCAGTATAGTAGAGATCTGTTATTGTGTAGATGACAGCTTCTTTATCTTTCATATCACACAGTCTGACTTATGAGTCAATTTCAAAGATAAACTTATAAAAGCTTTTATAGATTGTGATTCAGTAGCTGGCCTTAAGTGATCACAGCTCAAGAAAGTTTCTTTTCAGTTTATAAGTATAACTCCCTACACGTTTTGTTGGACATTAATAGTCGTATCACACTAGAAGAAGTTTAATAGAAGAATGAAAAGAAAATGAGAATGAAAAGAAAAATAAAATAGTAAAAATGAAAGCGGAAGGTTTTAAATTAAACAGTAGAACCAATATAACGAGGCGGAGGGAAATAATAGGGGTAAAATAAATGATATCAAAATGGAGAGTGAAGACAAAAAGCCGAACAATCCACCTTTCCAATATTGTTCATATATCACCGGAGAACAAAAGTCAAATCTTCAGCATTGGTATCACGGCGAAACCTGACGTTCTCATCGCTCGAAGTTCCGGCGGACTCACCAAATCCACCACTGTATCTCAAAGCTGCGATGACGATATCAAGCGTTGAAGGTCGAGAATGCATAAATAACGGCCTGGCCAATGTCCGGCCCAAAACAAAGATGCATCCAACTATGGCCATTGCCACGCCTAGTTTACTTGATTGAGAATCGGTTCCATACCCCCAGACACGGAACTTTTTAAGCGAGGTGAGTTGAGGATGTCGCTCCATATAGGTGCCGGACTCTCCCAGCTCAGTGGCATTGACTAGTGTATGGCCAATGAGAGACAGAGCATGGTTGTAAATGAGCCTATGCTGGTCCAAGACAACATTCGTAGCCTTTCTGAAGGGTGGGATATCCTCGCGTGTCTCAGGTAGAGGAATGCTAGCGAGGGATTTGACACTGGCTACCAAATTGGATGCTGCGAGGCGATTGCCATCCACTGTGCCGGATCTTGACACTGACCAAGCGGCAAGCATCCAGTCAGAGTGCAGGAATATGCTCTTTGGCGGTTTGCCTTGGGGAACAACCAGTTTGACGATGGTGTTGTTGATTTCCAGGGGCGTTAGCGTCATTGTATAGGAAGGGAACGTAAGGTGGGAATTTGTTTGACACACTACGGTAGAGTTTGGCGTGACCATGTTTGTAGGGGTATATTCAACAAATTGTATATTCAAGTGGAGAGCTGCTTGTCTTGGGTTTCGAACAATAAGGGACGATATTCGATCCCAGTCACAGCTATCACTGATTTCACGATCCACAATACAGTGCTCCTTCTCTGGAGGGATTCCAAAGGACCTCCCCACTGAATACATATTCACAGAAATGTTTCTACCTGATGTTGTGTCTGTTTCTCGGATTGAAAAGTTTGAATGGGCAACTCTAGCGTCCTTCCAAGGAGATCCAAGGCGGATGCACTCATAATAATAACCGGGTTGGCTCCGGGAAGTTGTATTATAGCAATGGACCGACTTGGTACTGGATAGTTCTATGTCGATGATACTAGCTGTGGTGCAAAAGCCCTTGGTTCCAAGGCTAGGGCCTTCACGGTGCACTTCAATGTCCAGGGTATTCCGATAGTAATTGAAGAGATCAAAATCAAGATCGCGATCGGGCAGAGCACGTTTCGCCTCCTCAAAGGTATTTTTGGATTTTGAATTAAAAATCTCCATGTAATCAAGACTCATCTCTCGCAGGATCTGTCGACTTGGCACCCATACATGGTGGATGTCTCCCCATGTCGACGAATTATAGGAGAAGGCCACATTACCATCCGCGAGGATCGGTTCCAGCACTGTAGAACCATTATCCCAGAGTGAGCGGCGCCATTGCAATCCCGCCGACATTTCGTCCACACTTGAAGAATAGTAATCAGTGCAAGTAAAATTACCTGCTATCAAGGCCGCCTCTTCACAGCTGCGGAGGTTGCTAATACGTTTTGGAGGATCAGATGCAAGCATCACCCCGAAAGCCCCCTCCATAGGTGAGTTGACTTCTGCCCACCCAAGGGAAGGGATAACGAGGACCGCAACTGCAGGCCCCATCAGATTGCACGTTATGCAAAGGAGTAGAGCCAGGAAAGCGAAAAACCAAAGAGAAGCTTTTGATTTTCGATGAGAGACAGATGAAGCCAGGTTCTTAGGAGTTCTAATCGATTTCCAGAACGTAAAACTGAAAGGGCTCATGACATTGGCAAATTCCATGTACGTCAGGAAATAGCCCACTGGAAGGCCACGGCGCCGGAGTAGCAGCATCGAGAAATCCAAGACAAGGCTGCCGGCACAAACTGTGAACCAGACCTCAAGAGCTTTGGCAACCAGCTGTAAGAATCCCAACACCTCATGATCCTTGTTGTCCAATGCAACGGTATGTTCTTGGAGATTCCGCCAAAGATTGCAGTGATCTTTGTAGCCCGGGATAGCACAGGAAACGCTTGCTCCGATAACATACTCCGTGAAATTTAACCAGAGCGAGGCGATAATCGGCACCAGCCATGCGAAACAGAAAATATCGAAAATCACGTTGTGCAGGGTAGTGGATTTGTACCAAGGTGTTCGAGTCTGGACATCCTCTCGGCTCGCATCTGGCGCATTCTCTTCTCCCCCGGTTTCGCTCAGCGATTTCGGTATATCGGATGAAGTATTGTTATTCTTACCATGTCCGAAGTGGCCGTTAAGGTCCATACTCTCTGGAGATACACGCCGATATTGAGGAGGGACAGTCAAGCATGAAGCGTTGGTATGGAGAGAAGGGCATAAAACACGCAAGATGCACCAGAAATATCAAAGACGTATATTATTAGCCTTCTCGCCGGCCGCTTTTCGGAAATTGCAGCGTAAGCATCCTCTCACGGCTTCATCAAAATTAAAAACGGATCCAAGGGCAGAGTTGGGTGATATTAAGCCTCAAAAAGTCAAGGCTTCTCCTCCATCATGAGCGTCGAACGGGTGCAGGAAACAACAAATCATTGACTCTAGTAGGAATATCAATCCCTTGCTGTGTCGATGCCGTAGTCGAGTGGTGCCGATCCAAGCAATCACGGTAAGCAGTCAGAAGAAATCGGAACGGCATATGTAGCTTTTCATCAATAGGAATATTGATGGGGTTAAAGCTTGAAAACATGACCGCTGCCTGGTGTGACACGCGGGGGAGAACATGCATGGGTTCTCGTTTTCCAGTACTCTTGCTGGATTTACCTTTATTTGATAAGTTACCGGTAAACACAATGAAAAACTCTGCAAAAGATCACCAACCCTCGAGACGGGAGGAGGAGGGCTTGAGGGGAAATAGTGCGAACACAGCGAATCGACGAAGGTCGTGGAAGACGACTGCTGCCATAAATTCAGCGATAGTGCTTCAAGCAAGTCAACTAAAACTTGAGTTAAATATAACTAATAACTTTGTCAACAAAATCTCGTTGGCACAATTTTTGTCTTCGTTACAGCTTTCTGGTCATGGATGTCAGAACTTCTGCCATTCAAACATAGCCATACACAGAGTGACAGCTCACGCATTTTTCAGTGCCCCATTTTTGCGTGCAGGTGAAGATTCGCTTCAAATGGCAGATCTGCAGAAGATAAATATGAGTGAGTGGAAGGTGATGTAAATAACCGGAAGAATTCATCTGCCCTTGCTCAACCTTTCAGCCAATCCACATCATTCCTCCACAAAAAAAAAAAAAAAATATGGTCAAACCAGCAACTACAAGCAGCGACTAATTTTTGCTCGTTGAAAATGTGTCTATCTTGGAAAACTTAAACTCATCACAGGCTGAAAATTCGCTTTTTAAGCAAATGTGCGTGTGAGACCGTCGTCCTGAGCCGTTTTTCAGCATCTCAGGCCGACAGTGCATCCAGCAGGACGATAGTTACTCCTGAGATAGAATGATCGCCAACCTTAGAGAGGTTTAACTATGAGCTATCCGGTCTCTAATGCAGGTCATATTTTGATAATGAACTATAACGCAAGGCTTTTGCAGGCCCCAGTTGTACTTTTTCATGCCAATGGACAACAGAATATCACTTCGGGCACTGAGGGGCTTATTCTGGCAACATGCCCCGGGATGAAGATACATAAGTCGGGGCCAATATCTTCTTCAATCGAATTTATATTCACCTCCTTCTTGAAGCTGATAATCCCGATCATCTCCCTGCCAGCCATGATGTTGTTCAGAACTACCTTTCTTTCACTCAGCCTGTGGACTCTCTGTGTGCTGGCGCAATCGCTGCAGCAGGCTCTTCGTGACAATGGACATATTCGATTTGCCGACTTTCTTGCAAGTGATCCTCCATTTGAATTAGATCCGACTGCATCTTCCGCTTTCATCCTCGCTCCGATAGATGCTGCCTTTGATGATCAACCAAACGGCATCCTGGGTCGCAGGGCCGCCTTACAGAAGGATTCAGCGGAATACTACACCGGTGAGAACGGAAACGCGAGACGGGGCTTGTTAACACCTGATGAGACGGTGGTCGAAACATTCTTTACGAACCCTCAATACGTGAATCTCAACGGCCGTGGTCAAGTCTTTATCAGGCAACCAACGCTGCTGGGATTATTCGAAAGGATATCCAGCGGCCTTCAAGAGAGCGTTAACATTGTGTCGGGCGATATTCCATTTGACCAGGGAACGATCCGCGCTATTGATGGGTAAGAAACACACAGAGCGACTAAATATGCAAACAGTGCGAAATCCATGCTGACAGTGTCAAAAAAGCTTTCTCACGGTGCCCGAAAGCATATCCACAACTATCGCCAAGATAGGATTTGGGCCCTTCACAGAATTCCTCGAGAGTACCGGCATTCTCAGTATGATCAATGGCATGCCAACCCTCACCCTTCTAATCCCCACAAATTTTGCTCCTCCGTCCCCTGACCAGTTTGATGAGTTCATACAAATAATGCAACAACATGTTCTCATCGATTTCCCGGGGTACACCTCGATGCTCGAGGATGGACAGTCATATCGCACGCTTGCTGGCCCTGGGAAGGATGTCACTGTCCAAATTAGGGGAGACTCCTACTTTATCAATGGTGCTCGAATTGTCCAAGCAAACATAATTGTCGGCAATGGGGCTATCCATGTGCTCGATAGGGTATGAATATTCCCGCTTCGCGTCTATCACATATACTCTTGACTAACATTGACGAATACAGATGGTGAACGCACCCCCGGGCCAATTGCCGCTATCATAGACCAGCTTAGACCAACCCCCTTACTATTAATATATCCTTTTTCATTCACATTTTCATTGGATCCATTTTCCGAGGTTATAATGGTTGCACCAGCTGAATGGGAAATGGTAGCTGTGTTTAATGAAGTTTACGACATAGTGAACAGCTACCTTGTTTTTTTGTTCCTTTCCTTGTGGCTCCCTCACGCTTCCTTTATTATGCACAATTTCATGCCTAATCGATGGAATAGACATCATTAACAAGCTTCTTACTGCGTTGAACTCTGATATGCCCCTTCTAGAGTGGGCCGTCTTTCATATAGCCTAACATATAAGCTTAAATCTTAGCCCCCGGGCCAGAAACTGATGCGCCCGGCCACCTCCGCAAATAACTTAAGAGCACCAATCTACAGGATTTTACCCAAACAAGTGTGAGAATGTAGCCAATATTTACTGCACAATTTTAGTCTCGTGGAGAAGATCGCATGGAAGGATTTCAGCAAGGATAAAACTCATGAAAGCGTCTCATAAATGGTGCATTACATGTGCCGGTATGAATAGTTACCCTCACATGGATAGATTCAAAAAAAATCAGATGTCCTGACCATACCCAACAAACCAATGGAGGAAAAACAGGCTCACATGAATACAACTCTTCGAAGATATCACTGGTTATGGCTAGCTTGCGTCTCAACAACAGGAATCCAAAGCACCATATGTACAGTACACACGTAGCAGAAGTATTTCTAACTGGAAGTGTACCCGTTCACACAGATACAAATTACACAAATTTCCTTGGATCCAGCCTCGCGATACTGGCACTCTTCGCCTCTCCCTCAAACACAAACTCGCTTATCAGCTTCCCGGTTCCAGGGGCATTCTGGATCCCCCAACAGGTATGGCCTGTGGCCATGAAAAGCCCCTTAATTCCCACATGTCCGATCAATGGACCAGCGCGTGCTATCTCTACGTTCGGCAGATAGCAGGCTTGTCTGGTAATTACATCCCCCTCCCGAAGAGCCTTGGACACACTCCCGATGGAGTCGATGATATCCTGGCACCGGGCCGGGTCAACCTCGACGTCTGCAGTTGTGTCGGGCAAAGGCACGAGGGTATCTCCCTCGCCACATGCATAAACAGTATCATCTGGTCTAGCATAGATCTCAGGAGAAACTACTCTTGGTCGTACTTTCCCTTTCCCCGCACCCGACAAAGACCCGAATCCAGCGGGCAGCGCAAGCTCTGTAAATAGCGTGTACGCGGATACGGGCCGTGTAGGACGGACAACGACACTGTGTGCTCGTAGGGCGGATATGGGCGCACGGGGGGAAATGTTCCGTGTCCATGGCCCAGCAGCAATAACCACATCCGTTGCCGGGATGCTATGCGAAGCACCCGTTTCCTTCTCCGTATAAGTCACAGATTGAACAGCATCCTTCGAGTGCTTAATATTCGTGACCTGGCCAAGAACAACCCTTGCGCCCTTATCTTCCGCCAGTTGTGCCATGGAGGTAGTGAACAGGTACGGGTGTACCTGCGCCGTCTCCCCAGAGCCGCTCATTTCTTCATAACTCTTCAACGCCTCCGCATCAAACCAGTCCAAATCCCTTGGGAAACCCGCGGATTTCAACTCCTTCATCGCCTCCTCACCCCTTTTTTGCAACGAAACCGCTGCACCAGGATCTTGCGGAGCTTCCGCAGAGTTATTGTCACCAGGCTTGTTCACCGTCCACGGGCGGCCCTGCGCGGCAAGCTGCCCGCAATTCACCTCCCGATAGCCCCACCGCTCCTTGCCATTATGTTCCCGTGCCAGCTCAGCGTGCAACCTGTAACTGAGCGGCACTATGCTGCTCGGAAAAGCCCATAGCGCAAGAAGTCCACCTGCCTTGCCAGAGGCGCCACCTGCGATCTCCGTCGCTTCGAGGATTGTAATCTTGTGTCGGGATGGGTCGTATGAGGGATGTCTTGTTAGGAAGTAGGCTGCTGAACAGCCGATTATCCCTCCGCCTATGTAGTAGCCATATCACTCGTGGTTAGTTTATTCTTGTTGTGGTTTCGTGGGGCGATTGAGTCGTGGTCGCCGCGCGCCAGTCAGTCTCATCCAAGAATTGGGGTGCGGGGAGCTGAGGGGAAGAGGGACGGTAAGTTAATAGTACCTATCACAACGATATGCCGCTCCTGGCTTGTCATAATACTGCGGGATGTTATTCGGATGGCCTATTAACTATTAAGAGAATTGGTGGTAAGCTGTAGAGTGTGCCCTGCTTCTCAAGGTGGAGCTGTAACTAGTTGACACTTTGAACTGGTGAATGTTGACGAGCCAGGTGGACAATAATAATCCCAGGGTAGCCAGCCCCCAGAGATAAAAGCCTGAGTCTACAATCTTGGTTGCTAGTCTTTGCCTACAGTTATCTCCAATGGTACGAAAATAAGGAGTGAAAATAGAACAGAAGCAAGTTTAGATGCTACAGAAAAATATATGCCAGGAATCAATCCATCAACGCCCAACCCAAGATGGTACACGTGCATGAACAATTACTCAGATAAACACATAAATGGACCTAGCGCAGGAAAACAAAGGGATAAAATTGGTATGAGCTCGCTCGAAACGCTCTGTAAGACGTAAAATATAAAAAGAGGATCAAAATCACCCCAAAGAAGAAAGGAAGGAAATGAGTTGACAGAAGCTCCAGTTCAGCGTGTCGGACTCAATGGTCTGTTAAATCCTCCTTGCCGGTTCATGTACTGTCTGTACTGGGTCTTCTTCTCCTTGCGCACGCCATAGATATTGTTTCCAGGTACTTTAGTGTTCTGAGTAGTCCGGAATGACGAGAACCCCATCGTCTTCCGAATCAACTGGTCCAACTCATCGCCATCTGCACCATCAATATCCATGGCCATGCTGTCGGGCATAGGCTGGGTCTGGGGCTTTGTTGAACCATGCCGTCTCGATTCAGAAGTCCCATTCACCCTCCCCGATTCCCGGACAGCATCTCGACGGTCAGTTCTCGCGCCCCGCTGCCGTGGAGGTGACCGTGACCGTCGAGGTCGCGTCGATGTAGTACCATTTCGTGTAGGTGAGAGTGCTGGGGAAAGGGATCGGGTCCATGACCTATCACGACCACGTTCGCGGTATCGAGCCGATTTCCCATGATCTCCTACATATAACATCAGTACACATATTCAATATTTTCAGCATGAACATCAGGACAGAGAAAAAATGAACCAACCCCGTCTGGTATATCTGTCCCTACTTCCGCTCCTATCTCTATCCCTCCGCCCAGCCCTATCCCTATCTCTATCCCTATCCCTTCTTTCCCTGGACCTGGACCTGGACCTGGACCTGCTCCGATCTCTCCGATCTCTCGATCTACTCCGGTCACGTCTCCGGCCATCCCTATCTCTAGAGCGAGACCGTTGTCTACGCTCATCTCTCAGTGCGTTGCTCCGTTTAATATCGTCCCTGGTCGACCCCGCGTCTCGTCTGGATATGCCGCCATCTACCTCATTGCTATCATGGTCGCCCGCGACAGATTTCGAGTCATTCATCTCCCACATGGTCGAGCTGTCTGTCCTCCTCGCGCGTTTGGCTGGAGGTTCAACCATTGTCATTGTAATATTTTCGTTGAAGGGCTACCAGGGTGGACGTTTGGAGAGAGATATCGGGAGGCGAAATGCGCGTCGTGTCAAATAGTGCCGGGTACTAATAGTATAGTATGACTTTGTTCCTGCGAATTTATTCGTGTAAAAGGGAAAGGAGTTCAATCGTAGCCTACTTCGTTGTCCCGCTTAAAAAAAGAAAAAAGAAATTGACTGGTGGTGCTTCGATGTCAAGAGGTTTAACTTATTTACTGAATTAATAGTTACGGTCGCCGGTTCCTGCCGCGGATGCTTGCCGCGTCAACTTATCAAAATCCCGCAAAACGAGCATGAAATAAGAAGATCAGCGAAAGAGACGTCAGCCTTAAAAGAGAAAATCGAATTTGTTTGGAATATTTGATCTATATTAATCATGCCACCTACAAGTGTTTCCCATCGCCGTACGCATAATTTGCTATTAATATCCAAGCTACTTGGTGTGCGCAACTCCGCCTCGCCATTAACTCTCCTCCTAGACTCTCTAGAGCAGCCAGCTACCCCTTTGATCAGGGAATATATCAGAAGAGCAAAGGTAATATTTAAAATCTTAGTCTGCTTTACTTTGCTGTGGTTTGCTTTGATTTTAATTTAATGCTGTGTGTTACGGTTGATTTCTCCGTAAACCTTTAATAATTGTTTCAAGTTCCCCGCCGTCAATCAAGCATATATATAATACTTCATCCTGAATTCGCTATCATGTTGGATATCTAATTCCCCATAACATATCCCCCCATTGATAATTATGTATAAATTTTTGTTTCCACTGGAAGGAGGTTTCAGTGAGCGTCCCAGCTGACAGTCCTGTTTTAACAGCTATCAAAAATCCATATTATATTTGTCTCCTTCGAGACACTGACCCGCCCAGATGGCGTTGATACATTTATCCCGACCCGGCGGAAAACCCTGGCAGCTATTGCGAAAGAAGTGATCTCGGCTATATCGTCGCCACTTTCACCACATCCGTCAGGTCCTATTCCAAGAAGTATGTCGTTCGCTTTCCCCCTGGTTCAAACGAATGACTGTGACAGGGGAAGCCATGACTCACAGCACACCATATAGGATCCCTTGTAATTATCGATTCAGTTAATCTAATGATGTCTCGCAAACACGTCGAAGACCAGGAAATGAACCTCGCAGCGTATCTAAGCTCATTCCTAGGGCCACCCCCAACCAGCCCACAGAGCCAACATTCTACATCTCTAATTGCCATATACCATCAAGATATACCCACGTGCCCACAGAAGCAGGTACCGTACGCCCCATCCCCATTATCTCTCCTAACATACCTCGCCACAACAATCCTCACCGTCCACTGCATGAGCCATATCCTTGCCGAAAAGGTAGCGAGGGATAGGAGCCTAATGGCCCCTATCTTCGGTTTAGCGGAAGAAGCAGATGGCGTCATCATCGGCCGCCGCACTAGTCATAGCAAGAGCACCGATGATGATAGCAAAGGCCTCGTTATTGAAATGGAACATAGACGCAAGAGCGGCAGGGGTATTGTGGAGTGGTACTATCTCCCTCCTGCGGCGAAGATTCATCGGCAGCAGGTTAAAGAAGTAGTGATTTTGCTCGACGACCATCCGCTGTATAGACGAGAGGAGGAGCAGGGCGTTGAGAAGGAGGGGTGGGAGCCGGAGTCGACGTTTGAGTTGGGCTTGACGGAGCGGCAAAGGCTGGAGAGGGAAGGAGTTGTGTTGCCTTATTTCGATGCGCAGAAAGGAGATGGGCCTGGTGAAGGGGGTAGGATCCTCTATGATATGGGTGAGGAGGATGATTTCGATGAAGAGGAGGATGAGATTTGAATTGTCGCTTTACATCGTGGAGGTGGGGAGTATTAGTCGTCTTGCTAAAGCGGGGGAGTAGAAGACAATTGCTACAGAGCCAATGTGTAGGGTGGAACGCTTTGGAACTTCTGCCTGAGCGTCTGCGGGTAAAGGTTGCTGCGATAGGATGCTGAACATAGTTACCGCGAGCCTCATGATCCATTTGGTACCAAGCTTGACGATTTCAAAAAGGATGTCAGAGCTAGTACGAATGGCACGAAAAAGGATAGTGGGGGTGTGTGGAGATCTGATCAAGCTGAAAGAAAGGTCGAGAAGAAAGAAACGATATCATTATTAAAACAAAGCGCTATTTAAAAAAACCGCCAGCAGATTAAAACAAACAAAATGAAACCCACTGCCGCAAAGGGTCCATACTACAATAAAGACAATATCAAAATTAGCAACACTTTCTGCGATTACTTTTATTCATGTTTGACACACTTACCTGTTTCACAAGCAACTCCCAGTTTATCCGCACCGCGGCCTTACGGTATTTGAGACTGTCCTCCCTCAATCTCCCGGACATCTCGCCCATCCGCTCTAAGCTGTCGCCCCGGTAAAGGAGGTCTTCGACATTCTTAACCATGTATTTTGTTACATCTCGGAGCTCATCATTCAACTTGTCCAAGTTCTGGGGGGCGCGGCTATCCTGGTAGGTTTTCATTGTTCGCTTGATGAAACCGTCGAATTCAACGAAGGCGTATGGGCGTAAATTGGTGGAGAGGTATTGTGAAGCTGAATAGTTGGTTGTGAATTCGGTGGCTAGGTCACCGAGGTAGCTAAATGCGAGTTTACGCGGGTATGATCTGTCTGCGATGCAGAGGAAGCAAACCTCGTCTCGGATGACATAGCTGTATATAAACGTATAAGATTCCGTTGTATAAAAGGCAACAGGAGCTTTTCCGCAGACAATGTCCCACTCACTGAAGGTTGTATTGCCCGGACTCTATAGTAGCTTGCGGTTCTGAGTTTCGATTCAATCGACGGCATATGAGTTTGGCTTGCGACTTTGGTTCGGACAATATCTCTGTCTATTGATGTTCTCCGTGTTAGCATAACGAGCATCTTTCGTTTTCTCTCTCCTCTCCCCCCCTTTCACTAGAAACATAAAGCCGCGCGAGTGAACAGCAACACCAGCAACACCAGCATCGAGAACACCTACCTGCTGCTCATCATCTACGGAAGCCGCAAGCGGAACACCTAGATCAATCAAAAGCACCTATTAACACAAAGATCAACCAGAATCTCCCGGTAAACAAGAGTTTCCTAGAACCTACCATCCAGCCTCCAAATCTGAGTTGATAGAACCATCCTTCACGCACGAGATATGTTCCTTTTCGCTCTAGCTTGTTGCTACTTCCTTATCTCATCGCAGGATTCCGTGGACCAATTTATAGAACTGCAACGGAGGCAAAAAACTGCTCCTTGTTGTTAGCTTGCTTGTTTCAACAAGCCAGATCTCCGCCCCCTTCGCCGGGTGAACTTTGTCCTGTGAAGCTTCCTTTGACACGAGAACGTCACTTGATGAGTCAGCAGCTATGGGCCGGCGCCGGAAACAGAAGGCGGACAGCGGCGGCAAAACACCGCCTAAGCACGGCGCATTAAAGTAAGTTCATGTTAATGTTCATTTTCACCATCTTGATCAGTGTCTATTTGATTTGTCTCCTATATATACAAAGCTTATCTGCTATAGCTATTGCGGGAAAGCTAACTATGTTGAAGACCCCGCGCACCACGCCGTACTTCTGGTGCAGCAGGTCCTCCATATGATGTTGCGAATACCAAGACAAAGACCACCGTCGCGAAACCTCCGCCCAGAATGACCAAGCCAGGGCGTGTCAAGAAGTCTACTGGAGCACGACGTGGCCCGTCGAGGACTTCTAAGAAAGACCCGTGGAGGGAAGAGCAATTGACAACCAGCACAAATTCGCCTCTCATTCATCTTGACCTCGTCGTAAGTTGTGATCGATTATTAAATTTAACATCCTCCACTAGAAGGAACGAAGCTAACTGATGTATCTCCAGAAACTACTAGCGGACCCCAGGACATGGACCTGTCTCGATGAAGATGAGAAGAAGGAAATCATAGCTCTACTTCCTGATGAGATACAGCGGCATGCTGACCCGGGCCCAAATTCCGAAGGCCAAAAAGATAGTGGTGCACATGTCATTCCGCCACTCCCTGAATCCTTTGTGCGCTATTCTAATAACTGGCGTGATGCTGTGCGCCAATTCCAGGCCGACTTGGAGACGGGCAAGTATGATCCAGAATGGCAGCGCCAGGCAGCAGAAGCGATGGAAGAGAGAGCGCAGGGGAAGTTCGATAAGTTCAAGGAGGACCAATTCGAGGAGTTCTGGGGACAGAAACAGAAACTTGACTATGATGTTATTGCGGGAGAAAGTAGCAGGGTGAAGTTGGGGACTTTGGTTGAGAATGGTGTCGTTAGAGTTGGTGATGTCTGGAGATATTCGAGGTCGTTTGGCAGGGGACGTGAAAAGCTGCTGCTCGAGAAGGAGGTTCGGGTGGGTGATTTTCTTCTTTGTCTGTCATCTGCATTATTCTGCTCTGCCACAAGGGCTTTTACCTCTCTAACGCGACCTTAAAACAGATTGTGGACAGAGATGGCTCTACTCTCACTTTCGCAATTCCTCCTGGCCAGCGTGTATTTCTATGTGATAATTCTGACATGGCCCCGAAATCTTCGCGCGAGAATATTCAGACAGAAACTATCGACACAGAAGCTATCGACACAGCGCCAAACGGAGTAAATAATGGCTCTTCGCCAGCTGAACAAGCTTCTCAGGAGGGCCAGGTTGGTCCATTATCCGACCCCGTTACAAGTTCAAGGCCTGATGGGACCACTCCCAATGGATATGTAAATCCGACATTAGATACTCCGCCTACGGTTGCTGACAACCATCTTGCCAGTGAATCCATGGAGGGCACAGGTTTTGACCGTACTGATACACCAGTAAAATCTTTGAGCCCCGCCGCTGGGCCGGAACCCATGAATGTCGATAACTGGTGTGATAATATACTTCCAGGAATCTATGAGATGGCTTCAGCTGATTCCGACTCGGGGCTGTCATCAGCAGTAGATATGTCCTCTCCCCTATCTTGGAGGGAGGAAACGAAGTTTCCGGCCACTGGCGCAACGGACATCGGAATCACTGCTACTGAACTAATCGCGGAAGCCTTACAGATGGATACGACACTAGATGAAAAACCTGTCGTGGATCGCTTGAGCGATCCACCTTCCGACGTACCGGCGACAGCTAATGGCGGTGATGCCATTAACGCTGGTGCGGAGGCTGGAGTCAACGATGTCCAACTGAAAGGCCCCATGGAGTCAGTTCCACCGCGCTCTCAGTCTCCTGCGAACTCTGCTGTCAATGGTGACACGACGGAAGCCACACTCGCTGCTGGAGTTCCAGCCCTTTCCAAGCACGAAACGACAGCGGAGCCCACAGGTGAAACTACCGCTCCCACCGCACCAGAACCTACATCGGAACAAGCCCAAGAATCCATTCCCAAAGACATAATATTCAGCGGCGTTTCCGGACCTGGCCGTCTCTCTAACAAAATCCTAGAAATTGACGGCCGTATCACTCAGCCTCCCAACGGAAACGCCTGGAAAGAGTTCCGCTGTTACAGGGATAACCAGGATATAGGAAGCTTGTGGGAGTGCAGGCAGTCGTGGTTTGTGAGGAACAAGTGATGGGGCATGATGAACTGAAATGTTCTTCAGCCTCTTTTTGCTTTTTAACATTTCCGATCCCTAGCCATCCTGTCCTCCTCAGGTTGCATTTATAGTGCAGGTGAATAATCCCCGTACCACCCTCCCATCAACTTGGTCTATCAAATATGCATTGATAAACGCTCAATGAGCTTTGATCCACCACGATCTTGGCAAGTACAATCCTTTACACTGCTCAAACTCTTTCTTTTTTCGCGACCTTTATTTTACTTCATATTTTTTGCAAAATTCCTCTTCTTTTTTTCACTTTCTTTCTCTGGAACTCGCGGGATCCTGAAGATCATTTTCAATGTATCATGTGGGCACGGGATCTGATATTTGTACTGGATAATGCTGGCGTTCTTTATGATTGAAGAACAAAACCTTTGCATCGCAAATCATAAATTTTTGCCACTTAGATGTAGAATAGCCACCGGGAAACTTCATTAGGGTTATTTAACTGTCCTTCCCGGTTAATGGGGATTTGAGATCAATTAATGATATACCACAATACCTTCCTCCCCACAATTCCTCTCGTGGACTCCAAGTATTCATAAAACAAGTAGGTATATACATCGAGCAGGACCCCATCAAAAACCCCGTAAATATATGAAAATGTAAGTATACTCATGAAATACCAATCACCACCCATCCCCCGCACCTGCATTTGACCCCTACCCACCTCCGCCTCCGCCTCCACCTACACCACTCGCACTCAAACTCCCAGCATCTGGATCAACATTAATATCCACCGCGCTGCTACACTCAATAAAATCCTCGAGCTCCTCGGTCACCGTCTTCAACTTCTCCTTGACGGCCGCAATGCCCTCCGCCCCTACAATATGCCTAGCAGGCGGATTCTCATGTCCACCAATGGCCGTGATCGCATGGATGGTTTCCGCAATTAGTACATCCAGATGCGCGGGGCTCAGGGGTGGATAAATAGATACTACCGTTGGTGCGGATAGGGGTTCGTTGCAGGTTGAGCTGATGGGCTCTTCGTCAAGGTCGGCGTCGGTGTCTTCTGTTTGTCTGCTGGCGTAAGGACGTGGATTTGTTCCATTGTTAGTGTAGGACTTTGTGTTCGTTGAGGCTGTTGATGACGCGGATGGGGATACTGGGGAGGCGGAAGGATACGTCTCCGGCGCTGCCTCGGGCGATTGGCTGTAGGATCCCTGGAGATTTGGCAGGCGAGAGAGAAGGCCGTTCATAATGCCGCGGAATAACGGGGCGTAGTTTGTGGAGGGGGAGTAAGCGGGGAGGATGGGAGGGACACTGGTGATAAGGTTTGTGAGAATGCCGATTTCGATGCTGCATTGGAGGATGGTGAGGCGGATGTTGAAAGGGGCGATTTCGTAGGCGAGGCTCTGTTTCGTTATGTTATTAGATTCATGTTCTTTATTATACGCTCCTTCTCCTTGTTCCTTATTTTTTTTTATTCTCCACTATTTCTTTTCCTCTCCTGTCATGAGGGGTTGTCATGAACCTGCGGCAAAACACACATCACAGAAGCCCTCTAAAGCCCAACCTGCTGCACAGTAAACCCCTAACCCAGGGGTACCTATATGGCCGGCTAAGAAAATAATTAGAACTATGTTGTAGTCGTATGTCCAGTCTGCTCTACATACTAATGCCCCCAACGACGAGAATATGGCCATTTTTCTGCTTCCGAAATTGGGGTAAAACAGCCTTAATTAGATTTACTGGGCCAAAGTAATTGGTTTCGAACTGGTCCTTTACTAGAAGTCGAGTCCGTTCAGACGAAGCAAGTTCCTCGACAGTGCCAATTATTGCTGTAGATTGGGGGTTCTAAGTCAGTCATACATGTCGATTGACACTAGATATAACTTCCATGCGATGATACAAGGGAGTGACTCGCAACAACCCACCTTGGCTCGTGCAGCATACCAAAACATCGACTCTTCCAAATGCGTTAATGGCCTCTGCCACAATAGTTTGGCATTCATTCATCATTCTGCAACCAATTTGGCCATAGTGAATCAGCTGAGCTGTTCGTACTCTAAGAACCTCGCCCTTGGCTTTCCGAGAACCAGACAAGTTCAGTGCTCGATTAAATCTTCGGGGGCGGCAGACCTGATGTCAATAACCACAGGCTTCATACGCTCCCTGCATCCTACACCTTGGGCAGAGAGTTCGCCCAGAAGGGCTTCAAAGTCAGCGCTGCGAGGATCTTCCCGTTCAGGGTTCGGTTCAGGGACACCGGCGACGACGATCTCCCCGTGGGCAAGCAGCTGGCGAGCCAGTGAGATGCCGATGGGTGAGGTTCCCGCTGATATAACCCAAACCCGTGGCCCATCATGGGTAGGGAAATGAGAAGGTACGGAGCCTGGGGACGTAGGGTTGTCCGTCATCTGTGAATAATAAAGCCGAACAACAATTCTGGAACATGACGATCCATATAGCTGTCCCGTGTGATTTATAGTATTTACTGAGGTTTCAGCAGGTATAGCATATCCATCAACATGAAAATATATGAACAGAAAAAGAAGAATACACCCCCCTTTGAAACACGCAGATCGGATAACTTATATACAAATATGGTGCTAGGAGTAATAAGGGGGGTTGTTGCTTCTATCCCGCTTGCGCCAAGCAAATACCACGTGACGTCCGTTCCTGGTGCTGACGTTATTTCATTTGCTCGGAGCTGTTCGCCGGAGCTCCGATAGCAGCGAACTGGCTTCTGTCAACTAACTGCCGCGATTGCTTTGCGCAGACGCCTATCCACCCCGCAGAATTTTGGTATTGCGTTCAGAAGTTCAGCAATATGTCGGGGCGCAGGCAACAGCAAGAGGAGCAGGGCTCAGGCGTAAGCATCCTGTCCTTTATCTCCAAATCATATGCTACGCTCGCTCTTAACTAATGAGATGAAGATGTAGTCTTTGATCAAATCTGCCCTTCAGGGGTTGGCCTTGTTCATCGCAACCCAGTTTTTCGTTTCGCAAGTATTCGGGCCGTCAAAATCAGCGCAAAATGATACCAGTGGTGGTTCTGCGGCTGCGGGGAAAGCAGCTATTCCAGCTTTCGCAGACCGGCCGGATATCCGTACCATCACCAATGCTAGTATGGTCCCTCACAAGGTCGCCCCAATATGGCCTATGAATAGCTCGGTAGACATTTCCATTTACGTCTCGCCATCTACCAGTATTCCGTCATTGGATACTCTCCCAGAAGATGCAAAGGTGCTTGAGGAGAAGAATTTTACTCTCGGTGATTGGGACGACACCAGGGAGATCGCGACAAGTTTCAAAGTGCCCAGAGAAGTCCAACAAAACGGGACGCTATGGGCTCATTTCTACATGTCGCTCACTGGACAGCCACTGGACCCAAAAGACAAATCCTATAACGCTGCCAACGCTGTTTATTTCCGACGCCCGCTGAACCAGTATTTTCCCAAAAAGAAAGTGAAGAAGCTAAAGAATCTCCTCAATGCGGACGAGATAGAAGAGGGCGAGGTTGATGTTCCACGAGTGACCCAAATCGGGTCATTCTATCACCCCAACTTTACCCTCTCTGTCATCCCGGATACTGGGGTTATTAATTTCCCGGTCATGGCTCCAGCAGCGCGACAATATCTCCAGCTTGAGAGGACAGGCGCTAGAGATGCTACCGGCCAGAATGGATGGTACTACCCTATCCTCTTTGTCAATACATTTTGGCAATTAAAGAGCCATATGACCGAACTGAACTCCACTGTTGAGACGCTACCCCTCCATATCACGTTAAAAAACATGCAGAACTGGAAATTTACCTTGTTGGCCAACATTGATGAGAATACAAAACAAAGCCAGAGACAAGCTGCAAGTGGCGGCCCCCTCCCTACTGGTGGTGACGGAAGCGAATTCGAAACTTTTAAGGAGATTTTGTTAGACACCAATAGTTACCTTTTGGCCACTACATTCTTCGTCAGCATTCTTCATATGATTTTCGAGGGGCTTGCATTTAAAAATGATATTGTGAGTGCATTCCTTGCTATCTTTTATCCCATGTGTGAAGTGCTGTATCGCTAACATCTAAACAGTCTCACTGGCGCCAGAAGAAAGATTCGGTTGGTACGTCAGTTCGCACCATCCTTGCGAATGTCTTCATGCAAACAATTATCTTCCTGTACCTGCTTGATAACAGTGAGGGTACCTCATGGATGATTCTCGGCGGCCAAGCCTTTGGCATTGTCCTGGAAGCATGGAAGATCACCAAAACCGTTGACGTTCGCCTTCGTCGTCCGCGACGGGGGTCGGCTTTCTCGTTCCTACCATACGTTATTGTCTTCGAAGATAAACATAAGCTCAGTGAGACGGAACAAAAAACCAAGGAATATGATGAAATAGCTTTCAGGTACCTTTATATGCTCGCGGTCCCATTGCTGGCTGCATATGCAGTTTATAGCCTGGTGTATGAAGACCATAAGTCGTGGTACTCCTATGTTATCGAAACCTTGGTGGGAAGTGTCTACGCTTACGGATTCCTTATGATGGTTCCTAGCCTCTACATCAACTATCGTTTGAAGGTAGGGATGTTCTTAAGCCCCACTCCATGAAACTTCTGTTTTCGTCATAATCTCAACTAACATTGCTTTCCCCCTCAGTCCGTCGCACATATGCCTGGCAAAGCCCTCACATATAAATTCCTAAATACCTTCATCGACGATCTCTTCGCGTTCACCATCAAGATGCCCACTCTCCATAGAATCGCCACACTTAGAGACGATATTATCTTCTTTATCTGGTTGTATCAGAGCTATAAATATAAGGTTGACTATAAGCGTGTAAACGAATTTGGTCAGGGTGGGGAGGAGGATGAAGTTGAAGAAACCGAAGCGGATAAGCGGCCAAAGGCCCTTAAGGACTCTGAGCCTACTACTGTATCGGAGCCTGAGACAAGTACATCGGGAGCGAAAGCCAGAAAAGAACCCGCTCGCAAGCGGAAGTAAATTCAACTGTACAGTACATGGCCTGGCAAAGAGGGGTTGCAGTGGACTTGGGACCCAATAGTTAGATCTGGGAATATTAATGCATCTTATAGTTAGTTTTTAAATTGAATAGAGGTACATAAGTGTTTTTATTGGCGTTGTATAAGACTCCTGCATCATCTAGCTTTCAGCTTTCACCAGTTGAATGAACTATATATAAAAGGTTTCGCTACATGAGGGTCATGTGAGGTAGTATTTAGAAGTTGTCATATGGACGAAGTCCGCTTATATTTATTTTAATATCCAAAGGCCATTCTTTTTGAAATCAAAACTATTCAGAGAATTTCCTATGCAACTAATGCGCCGCTTCTCTGCACTCGAAAGTCGAATGTTATATGATTTCCTGGTTTCAACCCCGCGATCAGATAAACACCTAGACGCGCCAATCGCCGCGCACCAGTATATACCTTCGCGACTGATTTCAGACAATCCGTGCCCGATAATTCGAACATACGTTTTCCAAAACCGTAATTGTACAAGTATTTGACCAAAGAGGTGTTTGTTCATTATTGGCGATCTTATTGTTTCTATTGCCAACTCTAGTTTTCATGATAGAATGGGAACCGTATGGATCCTTGGGAACGTCCCTTGAAAGCGAATTGGGAAGTTCATCCACTACAGAAATATAAAGCGTCTAAATTATTCTAGAGAATATGGCTCCAGAAGGGCAACAAGGTGAGATAAGATACTACAATCTTCAGTTCGGTTGTGCATCACGGATTCAACTTCCAACTAACCGTTCAATTCAATAGACAAGCAGCAGGAAATGAAAGACGCAATTGAACAGCTGGAAAATGGTAAGAATACACGCAAGTTCATCCATATCGTAATATTGTACATGAGAAATGAATATCTAACATGCGCACGCAGTTGCTCCCCTCCCGCCAAAGCAGCGACACACGAACGTCGCTGATCTGGCGAAATCGATCGCGTCCGCCGCTTACGAGTCAGGCATTCCAACTCATCTGCTAGAGCGCCTAATCGCCACCATCTCAAAATCCAAGCATCTAGACCAAACGACGATAACCACTATAGTAAAGAATCTCTACCCATCCGAGCGCGTGCGCCCTCGCACAGCTTCAATGGTCATATCCTGCTTCGGACCCAGCAGAAGCAAGCCATCGCCTGCAACCCAATCCTTACTCATACGCTGGCTAATTCTAGTGTACGAGGATATGGAAGACCAATCATGCCTGTCAAGGCTCTATGCTGTCTTGTTTAATTTCCTGGACATGATCAGCCTACGCAGGTCACTATGTCATCTTCTCTCGCTAATCACACGTAGGAAACACATAAAGCCATTCCGCATTCAAGCGCTCATGGAGCTAATGAGAAACACCGGCGGCGAAGAGCGGGAGCTTCTGGGCCTGCTGAAAGTTTTTAAGAGCTATTATCCTGACATCATTGTTGGGGATGCCTACGCATCAAGTGGGCGTGCAACTTACTTCTTCAAACATCCCGATCCTGAGTGGGTTAAACAGATGAGGCATATTCAAGAACGAACTGCCCCTTCAGGATTGCCGGGTAATGGTCAAGGCGCTCCGCAGACTTTCCAAGCTGTGCGGCGCGGGGGGGTGAAAAGGAGTCGAATTGAGGTTGTTATCCCAGTCGTGCAGACCTCGCGAGTCAAGCGAGATTTCACATCACTGGAGGAATTACGGAGTGCAAACGATTTCGTCCGGAAACTGGACAGGATCGAGGTGCCGAATCAGGTTGCTGCGGCCTTAGTGGATCCGCTCGCGCAAAGGTATTTGCTGTTCGTGAGGAATGAAGCAGCGACACAACGGTTAGAGAGCTGGTTGGATAGTTTTTTTGAGGATGAACTGGACCGAATGCGAGCGGTGAGGGAAGGAGAGGATGAAGTAAATGACTCAGAACATCTTGAATATGTACTTGATGCCCTTGTTGGGTTTGTGCGGTTTACCAAGGTGGGTAGTGATCTAAGTTTCTCCTCTTGCTCGTGGGTTTCGCAGTGTTGCTTTTAATATTGACTTCGTTATTCTGCAGAGTATGCCTGAAGCTGTGGATAAGTTTCTGCGCAAATACCTCCTTTTCTGGAACGGCCATGACAGCAGAACTACCATCCTTGGGCTCCTGGAGTATATACCCATACAAGACTACGATACCCTTCGACAAAATTACTTCATTCCATTAGAGGATGCTATTCTAAGTGATCAACCCGAGTCAAAAGTTGTCATGCTTCAATACTATTCGTCTTTAATCCAACATTGGGGTTCAGTAATCCGCGCTACTCCTTCTCTTTCCCCTATACCTCCTTTACTCCAACTCATTAGCAGGGCAGAGCTCCTTGCCCTAACTGTCCTCGAGAGCTCACCGGGGACTAAGTGGACAGGAACCATTCAAAAAAGATCCACTACGTTATCGGTACTTCAGTTTTATACCGACCTGGCAGGACTTTACAGCTATGCGCCCAAGAATGCCAACATACGCATCACGGTCCCGCAACCGCAAATAATATATATACTTGCGTTCACACAGACACTAAGCCATATATCTACGCTATGTTCCGTACTGGCAGTGTATAAGCATTCTTTCGAAACTTCACTTACGTCAGCGACGCTTCAAAGCACCAGGACGCCCGATCAACCGTATTCAACAGAAGTAGTGTCTCGGTTTAATGGTTACGTGATTGATATTTGCAACCTGTTGTGGCGAAACAGAGGCTTAAACTCGGACGATCCTAATGCCTTGGGCTGCATTGTTCCACCTGGAACGGTAAATGAGCTCTCGAAGTATATGCAGGCGTTGAGCGAGACGTCTAGTTCCGCTAGTGGTGAAAAGCACAAATACCAACTTTCTTCTATATTTTCATTAAGTCAAAATGCCGCATTTTGCAACGTCTCCTCTGCGTGTTTCAGGGGGATTGAAGAAGCATTAGCTGATACTCAAGGGAAATCATTGTCCGTGCGATTGACAAGGCCGGTGACGCAGAGGGCGCTAGCTGCGCTAGATAAAGAGGGAGGTATAACGATAAACTGGCAAGAATACAGATTAAAGATGCTTGAATGGCTGGACGAAATGGGAGCTGAAGGAGTTGGGAATCTGATGCGGAGTACAATGAAAGCGTTGCGGTAGTAGTGTACATGAGATTTGTATATTCGATGGTTACCGAGGGCCGATTGATCCTATTGTTGTTTCTGATTATAATGTAGTTGAATTGGTATATATATCCTGGACGGTGGGTTCCTCTCGAATTGCATTCAGGATCTCCTCGATTTTATCTGCATCTTCTCTCGATTGCAGTTCCACAATCGTGTCCTTATTCGGGTCCCAAATAATGTCAGCGGTCTCGATTTTCAATCCAGTCAGTGCTGAAAGTTTATCACCAACAGCCTTCGTATCTGCGTACTCTGCGAATACTCTGAGCCGACCTTGATCGTCTGTATCCACATCAATAGCTCCAGCATCAATGGCATGCTCCAGGTGGTCATCTACGTTCAAGCCTTCGACCTTCTCAAATACGATTCTGCCTTTCTTCTCGAATAGATAGCTCGTGGGTGTGACTGTCCCCCCGTGATGTTTAATTAAAAAGCGGACATCTTGCAGTGTTCTCATTTTCTGATCCGTCATACATTCGATCACGACAGCAACAGATGATGGTAGGAGTGCTTCAATCGTTACCGATTCGAGGGGTGCACCCGTCGGCGATATTCCCTGGCCACGCGCAATAGCAGCCTCAATTGTACTCTTTGACATACCGCTTCGTTTCGCTTTGCTGATGACAAGGGCGAGTCGGGGATTTGAGGCCGGGTCTGGTCCAAATACTTTGCATAGTGTCAGTATTATGAGGAGTAAGAAATATGGACAACAAATGTTCAGTGTAAAGTTTGCTTACACTTCGACGCATTGATTATGTCTCTGGCGTAGAGAATGCGCTCTTTGCTCTTTGCCGCATCGTTTTTGCCCTTGTCGTGCCTAATTGTAGACCAACGGTTGTGACCTGCCTGTACGATTGCGGAGGAACTCAGGGCTCGACAATGCTTGCACACCCAAGGGCGTAGGCTTCGAGGCCCTCCCAAAAGTCTCAATCTAAAAGTAGAAGCCATGAGGTCTATAATAACGGCGGTAACGTCGGCGCGCGAGAACGATGTCGTTGTCCGACGACACTTTTGGGGCTCCGCGGGAGAGGATCGGCCCGACTGTTGATCCGCGCCGGTGATATATCTTGACAGTTCGTGAACTATGGCACGAGCACGACGTTTAACTCCAACCCCTTAAAGGTGAACCATTTAGTTCGCACAAATTGTAGATGTGCCTGGGAGTATTCCTATGAAGCATCAGCAGCAATGGCGGCTCCTGATACCGCTGCTGCGCCATCAGCGGGGCCAGACACTGCGGACTCCCGCCTCGAACTAGATGTGCCCAAGCTTCATTCACTCCCCTCCGAACAACAAGACCTCTACCTCCTGAGGTTTACCGCGGACCTCGTTCAATACACAGCGACACTCGATAAAGCGGGTCTATCTTCTCAGCAACGGTTTATCATTCAGGAACTCTTTAAAATATTGAAGCTTTCGTCGCCTCCTCCCACCAGGGTGATACGAAATAACGTCGGCCGATGTTTCAACGCTATCTTCAGCAAGGGGGACCGAACCACGCTGTACGACACCGTCACACAACTTCTGGGAATACTCAATGCTGGGAAGAATGATTGGGAGCTGAAGACTAAGTTTGCCGCCGCTGTCGCGATAGGGGAGATATATGCAGGAGCTGGAGACAGTCTGTTCACTCAGTCGACTGTTGTCTGCTCCGCATTGTTGAAGCTATTCAAGTCCTCCCAAAACCATGCCGGATTGAGGAGCTCCTTATATACAGCCTTGAAGAGGGTGGTTGGCAGCATCGGTTCTCCTGTGGATGAACAAACAGCGAAGGATATCTGGAAGCATGCTCGAAACACGGCCACCAACGACAAGGCCGTCGCCGTCCAAGCGAGTGCATGTTATTGCCTTGAGCAGTTGATTAAGAGCACATCCTATTTTGGGACGTTAGCCGACTTCGAGAATCTCAAAGCTACAATTTGGAAAGTGATTGACAGCCCTAGTCCATCTGTAAGGCATGCGGCCGCTTCCTGCCTTGCTGCCATGTTGATCAAAGCTCTCGTAGCCGGAGACCAGGTCCAGGACGTGCCAACTGTTCGAAAACCCAAAAAGCAATCGAAAAAACAGCCAACTGCCCCTGATGGTGATGACGCAACCGAGCGACCTCAGTCGCCGCAGCCTTCTGCAGGTCGAAGAGTGGACCTTCATATTTCATTCCAACTCCCCGAGCTCTTGAAACAACTTTCTTTTCAATACTGCCGAACCTCAACTAGTAACCGAGCAAGAGCAGGTATTGCTACGTGTTATAAGCAAATCCTAAGGGGCCTTGGCAACAACTTTGTCGAAGAACGCTATGCGGAAATTGCTGGTCACTTTCTAGTTACGGTATTAAATCATCCAACCATCACTTACAACCGATACCGACTCCTGATGACCAGGAAATTTATCAAGAGCTTATTAGAGGATACTGTTTGTCGTGAAATCCTCCGTGAGAATAGTAAACTTAACGCCGCCAAATGGCTAACAAATGGCCTGCTTAAGGATTACCCGAAAGTGGTCCAGGAGCGACCTGAGCCAAGCAAATACACTTTAACGAGTGCCTTGAGCACATTATCTGCTATTATATCTTCCTTAGGCTCTGCTCTGGCGGTTATCGGGGACAGCTGTCGTGATTCACTCCTCCAGGTACTCCAGCATCCTAGCTATACTGTCCAAATTCATACCGCCCAGTGCTTGCGCAACTTTGTTCTTGCTTGCCCTCAGCAACTCCTCTCTTGCGTGACGGTCTGCATGAATAGCCTTAACAGGGAGATTGGTCAGCTATCTACTCCACGACATTCCAATAGGCGATGCCTTGGATACGCCCATGGCCTGGCGGCTATGTTGAGTACCTCTCGATTGCAGCCACTCTATGGCTCCGTCGATGTGTACGCACGGGTCCTATCACAAGCTACAGATCTCCTGAAAACAAGTAGCAGCTCGGAGTTGAGGATTGCAAGCACGCAAATCCAGGTTGCATGGATTTTAATTGGCGGTCTGATGCCGCTTGGACCTAGCTTCACCAAAATTCACCTACCCCAGCTACTCCTATTGTGGAAAAATGCCCTCCCAAAGCCTTTGCCCAAAGATAACCTGGCTCAACGCGGTCCCCTAGAGATGAGCTTTTTGGCCCACGTCCGAGAATGCGCCCTTGGTTCAATCTACGTGTTTTTGGAGTTCAACAGCAACCTTGTAACGGCAGATGGATCAAGACGTATTGCTGCAATGCTTCAGAATACAGTGATGTTTTTGGATAACCTGCCAAGACTCAAGTCTGCGGAAGATATCTCTCAGCGCCTATCGCCTTCACTACAGTTAAAGGATTTCGCCACGATGATTCGTCGACGTGTATTGCAGTGTTTTTCAAAACTAGTCAACATAGACCACGCAAATTCAGATGTTCTATCGTTGTCGAATATCCTAGGCCTAGCGATCTCGTCATTTGCTGATCCTGAGGTTATTTCCGCAAACCCTTTTGATACATCCATTGCTAGTTCCACTACTCACTTTGATAATATTTGGGACCTTGACGACAATTTTGGATTTGGTGTAACAGGTTTAGCACATGAATTTGCCGTCGAGACCATCTCAGGATGTCATAAAGAAGATAACTCCGCCGGCACGAAAGCGATGGAATCACCTGAGCAGGGAATTGACAATATTGTAAGCTCCAAACTACCCACCTTAATGCATGCAAATCTAACTACTTTCTGTAGTTGTTATCCCCGATCTGCCAAGCTAGGGAGCATGACTCTGTACTTCTCTATTCGGTGACTGAGCGAAATAGCGGATCATACTCGGACCCTCCCGATACCGAAGTTGTGAATGCAGCAATAGACTTATTTGCGAAGGCGTTACCATTACAATCGCCAAAGGTTCAGGAAAGTAGTGTGGAGCAAATAGCAGCCTTACTCTCCGCCCAAAGTCTAAACCGCAACCCTGGGCGAAAGGCAGCCATGACTGTCAATATTGCTGTAGCTCTGCTCCTTGCTGTTAAAGTTGCCGTTAAGGAGACCCCATCGGCGCCGGGGAACTTGAGGTATCCTGCAACTGAGAAAGTTATGCAGGAGCTCATTCTGGTAAAAACCTACCCTCTACACAATCACCTATATATGCTAAGGACCAGTAGACTTTTACCACCCACCCCGATCCCATCGTGCGTTGTATAGGCTCCGAAGCACTAGGGCGGCTGTGCAATAGTTCCGGGAATGCCTTCACTAGCAGCCAAATCAACTTCCTCGTTGATTCCATTGTTGAGAACCGAGATCCCAGCACGCGTGCTGGATGCGCGACAGCTCTAGGTTGTATCCATTCTCAAGTCGGCGGCATGGCGGCTAGTTTCCACTTGAAAACCATTGTTGGCGTCCTCATGTCCCTCTGCAGTGATCCTCACCCCGTCGTTCACTTCTGGGCACTAGAAGGCTTGGGTCGAGTGGCAGAATCTGCTGGATTGACCTTTTCGGCCTATGTGTCAAGCTCCCTCGGCATGCTTGCCAGGCTATATATTGCCGATACCCATAATGAAGAAGCTTCATCTGTGTCAACCTCCAATCTAGAAGTGGCATTTCCGACTACCGTGTCCATTAGTCGCTGCGTTGATTCGCTTATCAACGTTCTTGGTCCGGATTTACGGGATATCTCAAAAACTCGGGAACTGATTTTCACGCTCGTGAAGGAATTTCAGCTTGAGAAATCCACAGCGCTGGTGGCAGAGAGCTCAAAATGCTTAGATCATCTGTCTTTATATGCTCCAAATCACATGGATTTCTCCGCCTATGTCCGATGGCTTCAGCAGGAACTTGCATTGAAAAGCACGACAATTCAGGATGCCGCTATTCGAGGCTTCAACAATCTGATGAAAAGAGACGCCGATTTGGTCATTCGCACAGCCTCACCGAGCCTTGAGGATGAGTTCTGGCTAGCCTTTGAGAGCGCGACGGATAACGAAGCATTGAAAAACATTGTCTGCAACTGGCTGCAGCAAACTGGGCTCACGGATACTGATGATTGGATACAACGGTTCCAAAAGGTCCTCACGAAGACGCGATCGAAACAGGATGATAATCCTCCACCTACCACAGTCAACACCACTGCTATTCATGACATCGCAGACGACGAGGTGGCAGGATTTGCCGCAGCCGTTGGGGGAGAGCCCGGCGAAACGGCCAACGAGTCCTCCTCTGGTCAGGAACTGCTCAGGTGGCAAACCAGAAATTTCGTGATGGGCTGTCTAAGTGAGCTTCTGTCCATGGTTAGCAAAAACATATTGCCCGATCAAATTATTCCCGCAGAAATGGCGTTGCAAGAAAGGGTTGGAGATATTATTCGAATGGCATTTTCCGCATCCACTGCCAACGTCATTGAGCTCCGAATCTGGGGTTTGAAAATAATTGATCAAATATTGAAGGTTAGTGCCCATTGGATTTCCATCCCCTCCCCAGTTTACTAAAAAGCGAAATTTTCTCTAGATGTTTGGCAAAACCCCGGATCCCGATTTTGCGGAAGCGTTACTCTTGGAACAATATCAAGCTCAAATTAGTTCCGCACTAACTCCTGCATTTGCAGCTGACTCTTCATCTGAGCTGGCCTCGGAGGCGATTAATGTTTGCGCAACTTTCGTTGGTACCGGAATCGTGACAAATGTGGATCGTATGGGTCGTATTTTTAAACTACTGGTTGTTGGCCTGGAGAACTTCGCGAGTATGTGTTCTTACTTCCCTTGCTAGCTGATAACTTCGCTAATCCATTCATTAGATAAACCTGACACCACAGAGATTGGTGATCTCAAAGGGCTTAATTCTAATGCGCGTGTGATGGTGAAGCTTGCACTATTCTCAGCTTGGGCTAGGTTGCAGATAGCTAGCAACGACCAAAATTGGTTGGCTGAAATTGTGCAGCCGTATACCGCTACCCTCACTCCCCTGTGGCTCTCTTCCCTCCAGGAATTTGCGCGCCTCCGATTTGAACCGGAAATATCCAGCACGCTTGGGCCCACCGTATCTGACAATTTGGACGAGGTGTATGCAGCATTGAACCGGGAAACATTATTGAAAGTATGCATTCTGACTTGATCATGTCTTCTACCACACCACTAACACATATGCTCAAACTAGTTCTATCAAGATTCCTGGCTGAGTTTCGTTGATGCCATCGCAAGCCTGGTTGAGAAGGATAGCGAGTTCGTCTTCGATGCCCTTGATGGGAAACTTGAACCGTCAAAGGAAGTAGTTAGTGCTGATAAACCTGAAGTAAATGGTGTAAAGGGGGAGAAGGGAACGCATATAAACTATCGCGATGAACCAGTCGCGTTCTTTTTTGTTCTCTTTGGCCTTGCCTTCGAGGCTCTCGTCGCGCAAAGCCATGAACAATCAAATCAGTCATTGGAAATTCTGCGAGCCTTGCGAAAGATCCTCCACCCATCCGTTGCTGGGAATGCCGTGTACCAACAGGCCGTATTTTCCGAAACTATGGATACGTTGGACAGATTAGTGATGACTGAAGGCTCCAGCGTACAAACGGTCATTGTCCAAATGGCACGAGATCTGGCTCTGCACCACCACTCTGCACCGAATAACCAGCCTCGATCTGACAATCTGTCAGACGATATTGAGCAGCTATTCGAACTCACACGAAACATCATTCTTGTCCTTGCAGGACTCCTGCCTAATCTCAGCGAGTCTCCGACGCACACCCGCTTCAATATATCTGATGAGGCGGCCTCCCTCATAACACTATCCCTCTCCTCACTTGTCGACGTCACCTCTGTTTTTCCCTCCATTATCCGCGGGGATCTCCGCGCCTGCATCTTGCATATTTTCACAACAATTTTGGCCATGGGCATCTGCCAAGCCGAAGTCGTCCCTCGAGCTCTCCCCATCTTTCGCCGCTTCATCCAGGGCATCACCCGCCCACCGACGTCAATCACAACTTCGGCTGTACCCACTGATTCTGAAACCCCACATCCTCCCCCCGAAGACCCAGAAATCATCTCCCGTCAAATCCGAGGTTGCATCTCCCGTCTTCTCCAGATTCTCACGATTGCCCAACGCCGCGAATCGGAAACCTCACTCACTTGCGCCAAAAATACTCTCTTATCCCTAACCGTCCTGCTGACAACAAGCACCCACGTAATACCACCGCAAGATCCCTTAATCCCTCGCGTACTCTCCGAGTTCCTCGACTGCTTACAGGACCTGGGCCTCGCGACTGTCGCAGCGGGCTGCCTCCGCTCCATCCTTCTTAGCCCATCGACCCAAACCACCCGCTCCCCGACCGACGACGCAATTGCTCGTTTCCTCCTCCCACGACTCATTGCCTTCATAACAAGCCTGCCCGCCAGCGAACTTGAGACGCCCGTAGACCCTGAAAATGTCAAGGGGACCATCACACTGGCTCTCGTCTCGTGTATCGGCTCGGGCACGATTGCACCAGCGAGTGTCCCCATAGCGATGGCTCTGGTTATTCCCGCACTCCTGATGCGCGCGAGGAATGAAGGCCAGGGAATTTATAAGGAGATAGCCGCTGCTCTTCTTGAGCTAGCGAAGATCGACGCGGTGTCGTTTAGAGGTCTAGTGGCGGGGATGGGTGCTGAGCAGCGAGCTTTTACGGAGGAGATTCTGAGAAATGGGGGGATTGGGGGTGGTGGGGGTGGTGGGGGGAAGGAGGGGAGGAACGTTTCCGACGGGGCGGATGATGGGGAGAGGAATGTACCGAGTATTGCGTTGCGGATGGACTTTTAGAATTTGGTTTTATTTACTCCGTCCAGATAGGGTTACTTTGGATATAATGATCCGGCCGTCCGGTTGGCTTTGTAACACACATATATATTTTATACATACTATAATTCATAAGTTTTTACCTTGCCATGGGTATGCGTAAATTCTTGACATAGATATTGGTCATTGAGAAACAGGAGCTATATGTCATATGGCATCACTTATGTTTCAATTAAAGTATTAGGAAATATTCACCCACTGTTCGACAAATTAATTATCTATAGGTCGAGGTCGTCTATATAATTGGTTGGGGTATAAGGTAATTATTCAAAATGGAAACGCAAGCGGAGTGTTGAAAGAAGCCCGATGTTTCTAGCTGGTTCTTTATCGACCACAAACAGAAAAAGCTGAAGGGAAAAACTCGGGGGGCAAAGAATGAACGTCTGCTGTTAGGATTATGCGTCAAGGAAGGTCGGTTGGAATATGTGAAATATATGCTTTCTGTCCCGTCTTGTCCTCACCCAATCGGCTCTGTGGCCATTGATTCTGGACTAGAGATGGGCGGTAACGAAGGGTCAGCGGAAGGTTGGTCGTTGAGTTTCACCTCAGCGGCAGCACCTTTAGCTGCATTTTCCTTCTCGCGGTGCTTATATGAGGAATATCTGAGAGCGAGGATAATCATGCCTAATTTTATGAAGCTGGTCAGATAGGTAGTTAAAAAAGAGGGGTTATTGCAAAAAAGGATAAAAGCAGAGGTAACTCAAAGAAACGCATAGGATAAGGAAAAGGAGATCTGACTGGCACTCGTGGCAATAGCCAGTGCGGCTCTCCTGGTCAAAATCCACCGTAGCCCCTCAACCTCGCTCTTCCCGTCACTATTCAGCGACACGGTGATCTGATAATTCAACTCCTGGATTGCCGTATCCAGCGAACGCTGTAGTTCCCTCGTCGAAATTTTCTGATCATTGAACATCTCTTTCAAGTCATCTTTCAACCCTGCCAGTTCCTGTGTCATGCGCTGCGTTAGGATATCCAACTCGTGCTGCAGCTGGGCTCGCTCTGAGCGCTGGGCTTGTATGGCTGTATTCCGTGAGGCCTGGACGGAGTTTCGAAGCTCCGAACATGCCGCCTGAAAAAGATACGTCTCGTTTTCCACGTCGGATTTGGATATAAGGCCTTTCCGTGCCAGCTCGAGGTTATCGGCCAGTAGGCCTCGGATAGCCTTCATGATGGACACGGACTGTTCCTCTGTAAACCCAGACCGACCTAGATCTTTCACGAGAGTGTACGTATCGAAGTGGTGTACGTATGGCCGCGGGCTCAGATGCGGGGGTTTCTGCTGTTGGGAATTCTCCGGGGGCAGGGATTGAGAAGGAGCCTCGACCTCGGGTGACGAGGAAGATATGGGTCCGGGCATTTGAAATACAAAGTCTTGGGGCCCTTTCAATAAATCTACCTTTCGTTCTTCTGCCGTAGAATCGGGGGAAGCAGCAGCCTCAATCCCCGCTTTTTGCGCCGAGTCCCTGCTACCTTGAGACGGTAACTCCGCCGAAATGTTTGTGGACGATGCGGAGACGGCGGACGAGGAGGGTGAGGATTTCTTGGATCCGGCATCTGATTTAGCCTCTTTCCCCGTATCCTTCACATCCTGTGGCTCAGAAGGTTTAGACATCTTTCTCTGCCTGTCCGCTTGGGTTTGTTCCTTCTTGGGTGTGTTCTGCTGGGCCTCTGGGGAGACCACATCTTTTGGCTTCGGAGGAGGGGGAATTCGAGGCTCTGCAGCCGGCCCATAGCGCTGGTGGAATGGCTCTGCATCACAGAGTTGACTGGTATGAAATGCTGAGAATAGGCTGCTGCTCTTCTGGTGTGATGCTTGCTGTGGTGGTGGGGGGAATCTTATCGACCGATAGGTCGTTGGCTCACATGCCCTGACTGAGCGCAAAAGGTTCGGGTACAGGAATGGGAGTCTGGGAGCTGCCATGCCAGCTCCTTGACGTAATGCGACAAGAGAAAATAGCTCTTTAGGGAAAAGCGGGAAGTATACAAGTCCAGGCTGTAAAGAAAATGATACAACGTTAGGATGTTGGGCGGAGACATGCTGCAGCTACCTAGGTACTTACCTAACCCCGAGGCCGAGTCATGTGATCCTGTTTTCCCGTTACACCGACCTACAACGGATAAATTACAAGAGAAAATAGCATGAGAGTGAAAACGACGAATCCACATTGACTATTATGTACAGATGACTCCTCTCTTTATATAGGTAGATATATATTATGAACAGGATTCCATTTACTTTGTGAACTGAAAGAAAAAAAATCAACCCAACAGCCCAAATAGTAGTTGAGTTTGCTTCCAATACTTCTGAGCCCTGCTCTCGAGGGTACGCAACTCCGTGTCGCCATCTAGGTCAATGTCCTTTCTGACCAGCTCGACAATAGATCCGAGGTCATCCTCCGCTTTGGGGTGATGGAAATTCCGTATAGAAAGCGCCTCTTCCAGATAAAACACGTCGAAAACAAGCTGAATTTTGCGGTCCCGCAAGACTTCCGAAGAAACATCTGCCGGGGTTGTTGGCTCCCGCGGCAATTCTGCTACAGTAACTTCAGGAGCACTGTCGCCGTTTGGAGTTTTATTATCAGGCTGGTGCTCATTGTGTATAGGGCTTTGAGCATCCGAAGCAGCACTATCGGTGCTCTTTTCGAGGTCTGCAGAAATACTTGACGATATCATTTTATGCAGTTTATTTTTCAGTACGCCCACAGCTGAAGGATTCCAAAGGTCGGGGCCTTGTTCCTCCATCGTCGTGACCAGTTTCTGCAACAATTTGAAAGCGGCTGGGGATGGTTGAATAGGGAGCGGTGGGTTGCCTTCCCAGAGCGTGCGACCAGCACAACCTGCTCCGTGACGTTTCCCAAGAGCTCGGGTGATAATTGATGGTAAAATTTGAGAACTGATCTCAACGGCTAGGATGTCGTGTAATTTTGGAACAAGGCCATCAGCAAATAGATGATCCTCAGCCGAAATGCCTCTAGGGATCTGCCCTCGAATTTCTCGAATGACTCGTAGCATGAAAGCTGCCTGCTTCCCACGATGAGATCCACTCATATTGGCCAAGGCGCTGTGGAGACATGTCTGTAGCGCCGAGAAACCTTTGGTCAACGTAGTTTCGTATTCTTTCTGGAGAAGGTCGGGGTCATCTTGATTCAAAATCCCGACTGTGTTTTGCAGGACGTCTTCATCTTCGTCGTCTTCGACGATATCCTCCCACCTAATTTTTTTAAGGTCGTCGATCATATCTTTGCATTCTTCAACACCAGACAGCCACGTAGTATATGACCCCGATATCTGTAGTACCTTACTATCTCTTCCCAGGGTCCTGTTGATAATCTCCCTTTTGAAGGTGGTGGCACCGCCTGAAGAATCGAGGAACACAACATTCGCATCCCAGAGTGATAGAGAGGAAGCCCCGTCTTCGATCTCGCCCCACCCGGTAATTGTAGATGAGATCTCAAGCCCAAGCAAAGTCAGACCCTTGGCTTGCGCACGTAGAATAGAAACAAGCTGATTGTTCACAGCGCCGCGGATGCCCTCAAGTATCTCCAGAGGCGAATGGCATGGTGTGGAGCTTTGAACTGGTAACCAAATACCCAACAGGTTTCTGCGAAGAAGTAAGATCTCCTTCAAATTTTGAGATCGCTCTAAATTCTTTCTCATTCCGTCAGTCAACGCTCTGAATCCCTTCCTCGACCAATCCTTTATTATTTGGCCCGCCTCTGATTTGGATAAATCAATATGTTTCACCCATGGCGTAAAGTTCCTAATGTCGTTGGCCACCCATCGCTCAAAAATATCAATTGCCAGCCCATCCAGCTTTCGCACCTCCGGGTCATCAAGGATGGGGTGAATGGTTAGCTTTCCAAGGGCGTCTGATAGACTGCCCGAGAGCAGCTCTGATGTGCGTTTCAAAGTATGTATAAGGAGTTTCAAGCTCTGTTCAATATTTGCGAAGCTTGGATCTTCTCGCAAGAGTACCGCTTGTATAGCCTCCAACCGGACCTGATGAAATTGGCGTAGTACATCCGTAGAAGAGGAACTGGTCGCTAGGCAATAAGCTGACATAGCCTCAATAATTTCTTGGATTGAATAGTTCGGGGTGGCCAGCTTGCGCCCGATGCGCTTTAGTAGGCTGCGGCGGAGGGAGGCCAACTGGGTTCGGAGATTTTCAAGGAACACGGGAGCGCGATTGCTCTGAGAAAGGGTCTTGTGAAGAAGCCGCGATATGACAAGGAGTTTTGCAATCAGGAGATTCGAACCATGTTTCCGGAACAGTCTATAGCCGGCGGATGTGCAGCTATGCAGGAGGGCCAGCTGCGCGGCAATTGCTCTCTCATCAACGCCTATATGTGACATGTTAACTATACCGAGAATCTCCACAGAGTTGGTAGATGGCAGGGTATACAAACCTTCATCCACAGCAGCAATATTCGATTTATTTTCGATCAACCGGGGATTACATCGCCTTCCAATGCTCGATAGCTTAGTCTCGACCTCCTGGATCTCGTCGTTCATTTCGACAATTGTCTGCGCGGTGCCGAGAAGCTCTCGATATCTCATCCTAAGCGCAATAAGGGGTTAATCAGCAAAATGGTTCATTTGGTCATACTAGTGTGGCATTAAATATTACCCGACAAGAGAGCGCAACTTGTCCTTGTTGCTGGCGATGTCGCGGCGGAGTTCCTCCTCGACTCGCCGCACGGTGGGGATTGGGTGTTGAAACGCCTCCTGCCATGATTGAAGGCTGTAGGCATCTGGTACATCTGTGGCCATGTTTTAAGCCAGGCGCTATGTCGCTGTCTCCAGGTGGGAGATACAGCAGCTGAGAGAGCGGGAGAGTTGGCGTTGTTGTCAAGTCTGTCCTCTCCCATCCCGATGTTGTCCTGAGCATCGGCTGGCCCGTGCACCGCTGCTAACTATTTCCTCATGTTATTTAACATAAATACTCCGTTTAGAGTATTTCGATCCAGATAGCAAATTAAATATTCCAAAGAGCACTAAAAAATTGATACCGCAGCATCTTCAACAAGATTCATTCCTAAATATAACTATTTCCAATTTCTCAAGCTGCTGTGTCTAGGTAGGGCTAAACTCTACTAAATATGCGTCATCTTTAGGGAAATGAAAGCGGCGGGGAAATAAAAAAAAACCAGGCTTCAAAAGGACTGGAATCAACGCAATAACATCCTTGAGTCTATTTAACTTGCACAATATACTTTTGCCTCGAGGCAGCAAATTTGTCCTATATCTCAACTTTCTGTATATCTCGCATATACAGTATTCTCCCGGCAGAGCCGGAGCTCATGGCGGGCGACGATATTACCCCTCAGCAAGGCGCCTCGAACGGGCTGCCATTCCCCACCCTCAAGAAATCGCATATTCTACATTGCTCGTATCATTACTGGCATCCGAAGTACGTCACTATTGTTGCTCCATATGCCATTCCCGGCAACTATTTGTAGTCGGCCGGATTACTGACCTCCCGCCTGGATGATATAGATACCGCTCTATAACCCCAAAAGCCCGTCTCATCCCCTTGAATGATGCATTCCTTACCTATCTCCGCGCGGACGGAATAATTCTACCTCCCCAAGATGGAGACCCTCCCGGCGCGGACGACGATAGCGGCGTCTATTCCCTATCAGACGGCTCTGAGTCGGATGACGAGGACGAGGATCCTTCTACGCAATGGCAGGAGATACACGCTCAGATAAAAGCGACGATAGAAGAACTAGATGGGAAAGTTGCCCCAAAACTTAACTGGAGTGCCCCGAAAGATGCAACCTGGATATCGGCGACAAACGATATGCAGTGCAGAAATCCTAATGACATATATCTGCTACTGAAAAGCAGCGATTTTGTGACTCATGATCTGGAACATGCTTTCGACGGATGTGTATCAGACAGTGAAGAAGAGGACAAAGAAGCAAAGGAGGAGGAGCAAAACCCAACAGAAAAAAGCCGCATCCCATACCACCTCGTCCTACGCAAATACATAACCCTAAACCCCTCCCTCGAATTCCGCTGCTTCGTCCGTGACAGAAAACTCCTCTGCCTCTGCCAACGCGACCTAAACCACTTTAATTTCCTCTTCGGCCTTCGCGACGACCTTCGCGACAAAATCCAGACCTTCTTTGACATCAGGCTGCGCGACACGTTTCCCGATCCAGATTTTGTGTTTGATGTCTACGTACCCCCGCCGCATAATCGCGTGTGGCTAATGGATATCAACCCCTGGGCGATCCGGACGGATCCACTACTATTCTCGTGGTTGGAGATTTTAAACATGAAAGGACCAAGTTGCGATGAGGATGTGGCGAATGAGAAGAGGGAGGGAGGGGAGAGTGAGGTGGTGCGAATAAAATTGCGCCAGGGCGGGACAAAGGAAGGTGCACAAAAAGAAGATAGCCAAAGCGCGCTTGAGAAAGAGGATGGTAATGACAAGGATGACGAAGAAAATGAGGATGAGGATGAGGATGAGGATGACCTAGACGATATCACCACACTTCCCTTCGTGCCCGAATTCCGTCTCGTGGAACACGACGATCCAGAAGCATATGGCTTCTCGACACCACGATATTCGGCGCATAAGTTACCCAAGGAAGTTGTGGATGCGTCGAGAAGCGGGCCTGGTGGCATGGGCGAGTTCCTCGGCCAGTGGCAGGATATCCTTGCGAAAAAGATACAGGAAGATGACGAGGCGGAGGCCGCGGCTGTAGGGCCTACTATGGGTGACGGTTGAGATTTGGGATTTGTTACAGCACAGATGAAAGAAACAAGCTCGTTCTTATTAATATTATTCTTTGTTCATTTATGAACTTGTATGAATAATTAAATTGGAGGTGACGGCAGGTACTCCATGTCCGGGACAATATTTATGATGCTTTGAAGGAGTAAAGACAGTTAACATTGTTCAGAGAATGGGTGGAATTGTTATTTATATTTCATGCACTTTGTTTTGTCTACCATGGAACTAACTACTTCTTCCTTGCTGGTATTTTAGCTGTGGGGTGTTGTAATGAGTTTCTTTGTCCACAGGCTTGAATGCCCCTTGCACATGGCTTATCGTCCCTGCATCATCCCCACGCAATGATGAAGTCCCGCAACGGGATGACAACATCTTCCCAAAATTCATATACAGTACATTGTTGCTGGGTATTCTAATTCTAGAATTTCCATCCTAGCCCTCATAGATCTATCTATCATCTAAATTTGAGATTGTGGACACAATATCCCATTCCGCACTGTCTCGTCATCCGGAGAAAACACTTAGAAACACCTATCTAGAAAAAAAATGGAAAAAGAGACAAAAAAGGACATAATCAAGAGAGAACGCAATCAAAAACCAAGGAGCAGAAAGTGACCTGGGCAAAGAAGAGAAAAGTTTCTATCCCAACCAACCTTCCAATTGTACACACATCACCCCAAAAGTACATGTACATACATGCACCTTGAGCCAATTACAACTTATGCTTCTTCTGCCCAGTCGCAATCTTCATAAACTCCTGCTGTGGAATGCCAGCCATAAACCTATCCATCCCCATAAACACCTCCAAAACATTCTGGTGATCCAACACCCGCCTCCCTGGCCGTCTAATCAGCTCCTTAACCTTAACCATGCTGTCCTGATTAAGATGTGTCCCAAGCCTCTCCTCAACCTCCTCCAATACCAGTTTCAAAAACCCAGCCGCATCCTCCTTTCCACCGGGGGCAGTGAACACCTTGTTCACATACCCAGTCGAAACCAGATCCTCAATGGGGATTCGCTTGCTCATGATCAACGCCTCGTTGGCCTTGGAGATACCCAGGCGTTCAACCAAGGCGTGGCTGGCACCACCCTCAGCCACGAGACCGAGGGATGTGAAGGGCGTGAGGAGGAATGTGTGTGGAGCGGCGTAGATGAAATCCCCGAAGGCAGTGAGAGCGGCGGAGAGACCGACTGCTGGGCCGTTGAGGGCTACGACGAGAATCTTGGGGTGGTTGGAGAAAGTGTTTGTCAGGTCCAGGTTGCCGGCAACGAAGCCGCGCAGGACTTCACGGCGGGCGTCAGCATCGCCAGAAGCAGGACGGGTCTTCTGAACATCGGCACCACTAAATATTCGAGGGTTGTATTGTTAGAGAATGTTGTGTTTTCTAGTCAAAGTGAGGGATGTGTTTGGGGGTCTTAATACGTTTTGACTTACGCAGAAAAGAAGCGACCTGTTCCCGTCAGGACAGTGATGAAGATGTCATCGCGCTGGGCGATCTCGCGCATCTTCTGACCCAGTTCCCAGTAGTGGTCACCACCCAGAGCATTGAGCTTCTTAGGCCGGTTGAGGGTGATGATGGCTACCCGGTCCTTGTAGGTGACGGTGATTTCTTGGGCTGCAGAGCTCATTTTTGCGCTGTGATCTGATTTCCTTTATTATGTACGAAAAGAAGGAAGACTATAACTATTGTGGGATCTCGAAGGATGACAATGCAAGAAAGAAAGCAGTAACTCGAAACGAACGTTGAGCTATTGACGTGTTGTTAGTTCCAGAGGCGGTGTTATGCCTTTGGAAGATGCCCTTCAAAAAACGTCAAGGTCGAGGGGGAAGGAAGAGAAAGAGAATGAGCAGAAGAAGAGATCAGTTAAATGGTTTTATATTCATGAAATTAGAAAGAAAGCGGGACAAGAAAGAGAGACAAATATGAGCTGTGTTTCTGCCATTTCTAAGGGAGGGAGGGGGTTTTGGAGAAACACCCGCGGCTAAAAATAAGCTGTGTTAGCATTGAGCCGAAAATTGAACGGCAATGAGCTACAAAGGAACTAATGGAAAGAAACCTGGAAAATAGACGGCTGGGGTACGAGCAAGGTGACAGGACAAAAATCTCCTTGGGCTAATTAGTCTCCGTGGCCACTGGCTAACTGGCTAGAGTCAGAACAAATAGGCCACTATTTCAGTTCGCGATGCAAAGTAAATACTCCGTACAGCACTTCGCGATACGATATAGCACTTCTGCCGTTGAGCTGCAAGCGCAGAATGAGCCGAGGTTCGGCGCAAAAGTGCTAGCGCGTGTATTAGGAGAATTAGTTACTAAGCAAACGGCGAAGATTCACGTGGTACAGGATCAACAGACACTAATCAATATTAAGTCTAGTGCAATGAATCACATCTGACTAATCCGTTACCAACCCGCCGCTCCGACAGGCTTCCTATTGAAAAAGTAACTTCCAGCGGAGACAGAGGAACAGACACTGCTATTTCAACAATTCCCCCCGCCGGAAAACACCGTGTTCACTCCTTCCAGTCGCCCTAGAGCCATTCGGTACCGTGTATAAGGGAAACGGGCCCCTCGTTCCATTCCAATTCGGAAAATTGGTTCCCCGCGGTCATAGCTCTGGGCTTTTGTCCAATTCCTAGTATATATAATATACCGGAATAACAGGGAAATCAAACCCTACAAGTACAGGAGGGAAAGGAACAAAGGAAAGGGAGGCGGGCGAAAAAGCAAAAAACAGATAAGGGCGAAGGGCAACAACCCAGGAAGGGAGAAAAAAGAAATAAGAGGAAACCGGCACACCAAAAGCCTTAAAGAAGAGATAAAATTTATTCACAATGCTCAGCGCCGTGCTCCGCAGACTCCAAGGCGGGAATCTTGAAGTGTTCAAGGTATGCCAGCTGCTACACTAACTGATATGCTAACTACCCATCTTCCTTCTCACTTACTAAACCAAACCAAAACCTAACACACAAAATCTCCAGTTCGGCATCTACATCCTCTTCCCCATCGGCTGGATGTACTATTTCGGCACGAACCTCGAAGAACGCTTCTCCGTCCCCGGTTTCTGGCCCACGAAGGAACAATCACACAAGATCCCCCTCGAGCTTGGTGATATTGAGAAGGAGCTGGCGCGCATGGATAAGCAGAAGGCGTTGCGGGCGGCGCAATTGCGGGGTGAGCGTGCAGTGGGGAGTGAAGGCGGTAGTGTCGCGGAGGGTTCGTGAGTTACATATTTCGAGCGTTGTATAACAAATGGGATATGAGGGATCAAAGAATGGAAGGAAGTGTGAGGTAAGGTGGCATATGGAGGGGTGTTAAAAGGGTTTTTTCCCCTTCCCTCGGGCCTGGCCCAGTTTCTGTGTATATATATACATAAGGGATATGATATTCTTTGGCAAAGCATCTTTTCTTCGGCATGGGATTAAAGGAGTTCGTTCTGGGATGGATGGATTGGCTTCTTGTTTCATTCCTTGGCTTCAATTTTGGAATGTGTTGGCTTCAATTTTGGAATGTGTTGTATTTATTGTGTACATATATATTAATTCTCCTCTTCGCAATTTTTCATTGATAATATCTGGCTTGAATGAGGTGTATAAGCAGCCAACGGACAAAACACATATGTGGTGCAAGGAGGCGGGGATATAGACGCAAAAACCGACACAATAACACCCGATCATTGAAGATATTAAATTAGTATAAAACTTGCCGCATGGAACGTAGACATTATGAGAGTGAGCATAGATAGGCTAACAAGAAGAACAGAATAACATCCTCAGCCTGAGAACGAACCATCGTATGCAACACGAGCCACGAAAACAAACACGCCATAAAAAAAAAAAAAAAACACGCCTGTTATTTCCACGAGATCAAAACACCCGAACAACTCCCAGTTAGTGTAGCCAGCCATCTTAACTAAAATTAAAATAAATTTATTTTTTTTATTTTTTTTACAAAACTAATTCATATGTCAAAGAAGATAACAACGAATTCCCATCACAGTCCCATCACAGACACAAACAACGCCCAAATTACAACTCCCCGCCAGCCACCTTCCCCGCCGTCGTCGCAGCCGTCTCAGCTACTTTCTTCGCAGTCTCCATTAGTGTTTCATACCCTTCCTGCTGCGCAGCAGATAGGGAGGTTTTGGCACTTCCTGCGGCGACGGCGGTGGCGGAGGTAGAGACGTTGACGAAGGGGAAGTCTGTGAAAGCGTCACCTGCCCAGTAGTACCAGATGCGCTTGCTGACTGTGGTGACGTGGTCGGGGAGATAGACGTAGGCTGCTGCGAGGAGCATGGAGGTTATGAGGAGGAGGAGGGTGTCTAGGGCGTGCGCGGAGGGGGGTTGTTAGTTCGTTTGTGGCTCGGAGGATTATTGATTATTGAAAGGGGGGGGGGAGGGGAGTAGACAAACGTACTGAAAACGAATTTCTCTATAGGGGTAAGCATGTAGAGGGAGATGGTGACTTCATATTGATAGTTTTTCAAACGGAGCCAGCGGATGAAGGACGTGATGATTGAGGGGGAGGAGGTTTGCGACATGGCTAACTTGGGTTGTAAGAAACGCACAGATTTTGGAGATATGGTGGAAACGGAGCAGACGGCCAACTGGGGGTTGTTGGCAAGAGGAGTTTCTCTTTTCGTTTTGTTTTTTTTTTTTTTTTTTTTTTTTTTTTGAAGATTCGCAGTCGTAAGAGAAATTGTATGCAGGTTGGTTTCTGAAAATGGCGCGGTTTGTATCTAATCGTTCGGGAATGTCAATAGTCTGGCGGGATAGCCAACGTGATATTCCTGTCGATACGAGGAGGAACGGACGGATTGATCGTGGACGAACGGAGATATTATTACACAGCAACTAGAATTGAAAGTTGTGTTGTTGGACCAGAGAGAGAGACTGAAGAGAAATGATCCCAGGGGCAGCCAATCAGCAGCGAGAAATGTTTAAGGTTAGCGCAAGCGGCAGAAGTAGATCGCAAGAGTTTATTGTCACTTCTGATGCTCATATTTATATATAGTTATATATATATATCATATACTCCGTAAAACTGCAAAAATGGAGAAATGAAGGAAGATCAAGCAAGTTTCCCCACCAGTCACCTTGCTCACCAGGCTCCACCCCAATTACCAAGAGCATTGGGCACTTCTGTCACTCTACCAATATCAGAAGACTACCCAAATCATAATCTGCTTTGTAGTCTCAGCATAGTGCTGCCTTCAGCGTTGCGTGAAAGAATTCTGCAGCTGTTTTTGCTATGCCACTACATTTGATTCTAGCAAGAGCTGCCCAGCAGTTCAAAATTTGAATGGCCGCATTCAGAGAAGTGGTTGGGACGCAAGGAGAGATTTTGGACACTGGAGATACACGGGGACCCGGGGTCAAGTTCATTTCGCGTCTCATTTGATAGTCCTTGTTTCGAAGGGTTTAATTCCTCCGAGCTCGTATCTTTTCTTTGCTGCTAAAGTCCTTCGAAGTCAATTTTACTGGCGTGGGATAAATGCAGTCCTTCTCATGTCAGTGCTCCGCTAGGTATTTTATGAATGAGAGTATACATACCAATTCACGCACTGTTTTTTGAATAGACCTGGTTAATTCTGAACTCTTCTTTGCAGCTAAATCAGCCATTTCATTGCTATGAGTAGGAACTCAGTGTAAATGAGTTATCATTTTTGATTTTCTTCTCTTTTGAATTTTCATAACAGAATTCAAAATCAGTTCAAGATTCATTTAATTATTATAAATCTGACTATTTCTCAGTCTTTTCAGAGCAGCTTGACTGTCAAAAAATATTCATACATTTTTTAAACTAGTTTCTGTAAGAGGTCTACACTGAATAGATTAGTATAATATATAGGTCTTATAATACAAAAGTGAAAAACATTAGAGAAGAAAAGAAAGAGAAAGTGCAGAAATCAGTGATTGAAATGAATATTTATATATATACACAGTGAAGCTTCAGAGCAGAAGAATAGAGACTTTATATACATAGTAAAGCTTCAGAGTAGAAGAATAGAAATTTCATGAGTTTTTTAACTGAGAATCAGTGACTGAGAATCAGAGCTTTTAGTAGAATTTATAAAGTGTAATAAAATAGTCTATATAATTAATCAGATACAGTCTGTTATATTAACTCTCTCTTTTTACAGATAAGATTATATATAGATCTTATTAGTTAAAAGTCACTGTTTTAAATAATATAAAGCTTGAAATTCAGATCAGATAATTATAAATGATTTATTTTATAAAATATTATTAGCTGTGACTGTAGAGTCTCTTATCAAGAATATTTTTAATCTCTTACTTAAGTTTATTATCTTCTTCTACAATCTCTGATAACTGTCAGTTAGAAGTTAATTAAGAAGAGAATAGATCAGTGATAGTATAGTAAAGTAAGCTTATATAAAAGATATTATAAATCTCTGATAATATATTAAGATAGTAATTATAACTGTCTAGAACTTCTATCATCTTATATTTAATATAATGATAATTCAGTGTATGAGATGAGTGTGTAATTTATATAGTCTTAAGATTTAATCATATTAAATCTTCTATCTTATATTACTTAATAAAATCCAATGATGCAGATCAACCGCTCCACCACGAACTCACTCAATTTTTCGAATAAGAACCCGCCGATAGATTCATCGAAAAGCCCTCAATCATACAAGCATTCTGACCCCATCGCCGACCGCATACCCTGTGTGGTGGTGAAGTTATTCAGCCAAACATGAACTGAATGTTGTTTGAAACTCCTGTGTGAGAGTATCCCCTGTTCTCCCCTATCACATCACAACCCCAGGCCAAAGTGTCATACAAATTGTAAGGTGAAGAGACCTAGTCATATGCATCAATCTTCTCAATTTTGGAAGATCTCTGATCTGTAGTTGTGAAGATATCTGAGAAGTGATCTCTGTGAAAACCCTGTTCATCTTTGATGTTTCAAAACATCAATATCAAGTCTCACTATTGTACTGTTCTTTCTAATCTGGCTCATTCCCAGCAGAAAAATACAAAAAGATATCTCAGTGATAATATCAAGCACATAATCAATGATCACTTCTGAAGTGCAATCTTCACAGTCTGTCTTCAGTGTATCTGAATATCAATATCAAGTCTCACCCTTGTATCATCTCTCTCAATCTGGCTCATCTCTGACAGAAAAGTATAAAAAGATATCTCAGCAACTGTACTCAATACATAATCAGCAGACATGACAACTATAAAATCAGTATACTTCAAGGTCTGACTGAGCCTTTGATCCCTGCACAGTGAGATATATTAAATCTAGTTTTAATATCTCAATATTCAATAGATTCTGCAAGAAATTGAGAACAGCAACACTAGATTTCTATTGAATTTGAGAATTAACTCTATATTAATATAATCATTGACAAAGTCTTCTATTTTGAGATATAAATAACCAGTTTCTCTACATCTCACTGACAATATTTATATTATTATATAGAAACAGACTTATATTCTCTATAATATCAAGACTCTGAAGAGAGAAAGTCTTGATAGAGAGTATACAGTAATACATATCTTAGCAGTTTCTATCTCATTCTTCTGCAGCAGTTAATGCAAAAAAAAGATTTTAGAAATAGTTTTTTACTTCTCTTAAAAAAGTAAGATGTTTTTCTCTGAGTTTTATACAATATTCTTATAAAGAATTAAAAACAGAGTTGTTTTCTGTTATAATTTCATATTCTTTTAAGTAAGAATTACTTTTTCAGTGACTGAAGAGCTTTCATTAATACTTAATTCTTTTTTACACTCTTTATTAACTGATTTGAGTTGCATATCTGTTGTGTGAGAAGAATTGAATAATTTAGAATAAAATTGAATAGTTTTAATCAATTTCTCTTCAAAAAATTGATTTATTTTTTGTCAGTTTTTCTCTTAAAAACTGTCATATTATCTGATTTACTATCAATTGATATCATACTTTTTCTCATTATATCTCAAGAAAGAGATTATAAAGATTTTATTGATTTATCTTAAAAATCAATTTTAGTTTATTAGATTCTCTTCAAAAATCTAATCTAGTTACTGAACTAGTGTGAAAAAAATCAGATGTTTTATATATAAAAGTCTGCAATTCTTCTTTTGAAATAGTCTGACTAACTTTTCAATTGAAAACAGACTTAGAAACCTCTTAATTGAAACAGTCTGATCAACTTTTCAATTTAAAAAGAGTTTAATAAATATCTTAATTGAATTAGTCTGATCAACTTTTCATTGAGTAAGAATAATGAGTTCAAAAGTACACTCAGTTATTGTGAAGAAAGATGCTTTCTCAAATACTATTTCTGAGATTGAAATTCTGAAGAGAAGAAAGAAAGAAGAGATAGAGAAATAACAAGTTCTTGAAATACAGAAACTTAAAAAAGCAAGTAAAATTCTTGAAAAGCAGTGTCTGAGTAAGATGAATGAAGAAGTTCTGTTAATTCTTCATACTCAGGCTAGATAACTACAGAAAGTGATCAAGTTCAAACTTGGAATTTCAAACACAGTTTAAAAAACTTTGAAAATTTCTAATACAATCACTGACTCTTCAGTTTGCTCTTCTTTCTTTTCTACTTCTTCTTCTTCTTCTTCTTTGAATCAGAAGAAAACATATGCTTAAGCAGCTGAATCTGCTATCTCTAAATCTGCTATCTCTAAATCTGCTGTCTCAAAACCTGCTCAAAATCCTGAGAAAACTGAGAAGAATACTGCTCATGTCTCTATTCATAGAAAAGTGAAAAAGAAAATGTAAAAAGAGAAAAACTTTCAAATCTTCAGAAATAGAAGACTTATTCTCAAAGTCTCAAATCAGAACATTCTGCAAAGAAACAAGCTAAACTCAAATCTCATTTTCAGAATCAGAAATGAAATTAACCAGCAGTTCTTTTCTCAGTTGATGACTGATATTGAAGTTCAAAAACTAGTTATAGCTTCAATTGAATTATCATTCTTTGAAAACTTCATCATTCTGACTACAATGTCTGAATTCAGTGCTGAATTCCTTATTCAGAATGAGAATCTCTGAAAGTCAGCAGTAGAATCTCTACTAAATATAATAATTCTATCTGAAAGAGATGAAAAGTGAGATAAATTCATTCTTTATAATATTTCAGTTGAAATTTTTGACTGTGAAGAAGAAATACTACTTCTCAAAAATGAATTGAAAGAATACAACTCTATTCAACTGAGAAAGAAGCCTGTATAACTAAATTCAATTGAGTTCAGACAAAGCAGAAGAAATGCCTCTGTTCTAGTATATATAAAAACACTTGAACAGTCAAAGATCTCTGAAGTAAAAGTAGCAGGTTTGAAAATGAGAGTTCATGAATACAAAGACTCAAGAATGAATCTCAAAGCTCAAACACAGTGTTCAAACTGTCAAAGATATGAATACTTTGCAATCTCATGTTTTAGAGACTCAAAATGTGCATTCTGTGCCAGAGATTATAAAACTAGTGAGCATAAATGTGAAACATGCTCAAAAAGAGATGAAATTTGTCAACATACTCTGCTTAAGTGCTCTAATTGCAAAGAAAAACATGCATCTAGCTCAAAAGAATGTATGTTTGCTTCTAGAACTCAAAAGAACTGGAGAAAAGATAAAGCTCAAAGTCAATCTAGAACTGAAGAGAAGAGTCAAGTCAGTAAACTCACAACTGTAAGCTTAAAAAGAAGAAACTCTTAACTATCTAAGTCTTCAAACTTCAACTCTCCAGCTAAATGTAAATAGAACTTGAATTCTCAAACTTCTGTTAAGATTAGAGAATTGAGAAATAACTCTGATGATAAACTAGATATAATGCAAGCAGTTGAGATTTCTACTTTTCAGAACAGTTATAATCTACTATCTAATAATAGTGATTAGATTCTACTCTACTCTCTTTTAGTATGAATATACAACAAAAACAACAAAAAAAGTTTAAAAACTCTTCAAAAATCACATTTATTCAAAATAATGTGAATAGAA